CGAAAAATTCGCTAGACGAAAAAACTCGCGGAACGAATTAATTTCGTCTTGCGAGGCACCACTGTAGTGGCTGGGGAAACTCATCCAGATAGGTGGGGTATAAATAATAAATTATTATTATTATTATTATTATTATTATTAAACTTGGCCACAGGGATGTGCCCACAGTAAGTGGGTGAAGGTGCAACAGCCTATGAGCCACAAGCAGCACAGAATGAAAGGTGAACAGTAAACACACAAATTCTGCATGTTGGTAGCAGATGTGCAGCATGGCATGCACAGCAAGAGGACTGCGCAGGCAAGAGCTGCAGGGAGTGCCAGAACACAAAACCACTTTGCAAAAAGACACTATGCAAATTGGCAGGAAAGCAAAGCAAAGCAAAACAAAACCCAAACATCCACCATCCAAATATACATACAGTGGAAGGGAAGTTCCAAGACACGGGATGCTTCCAGATGACCTGTTTATTGAGCATTCATTCTCACTTGTTTGCAGCGAGATTAGATGACGCTGGCTATTCCATGAACGTTCATTCTGATTTGTGTGCAAGTTAGATGATGTTACACCAAAGCAAGTGTTCTCCCACACTACACTTTCTCCTTTACTTTTCTTATCGCAAAGAGACCGATATTTTGGGAAAGTGGATTTGTTGCGCAATACCTCCCAGGCCGTTGAAATTTGAATATGCCAATGTGTGATTGAGTCACACCCCAAAACAGTGACAATGTGGAAACACCCTCAGATGCAAAATATTGAAGAAGGATTTTGGAACAGAGGAAGAATTCCCCTCCCTATTCTCTTTTTCCTTTTGTGACATGTGTTATTAGACTGCAAGCCTGAGAGACGAGACTTGTGCTATTTCTATTGATTTGCAAGTTGCCCTGGAAACTTTTCTGGCTAAAGAGTAGGGGATAAATACTTTGAATGAATGAAAGTCCCCAAGAAAAATGAATAAATATTGGCACTGCAACAAAGGTAAACATCCTTGAGAGACAATACAAGAGAACAGACTGGGACACAAGACTAGTATCACCTGGATCAACAGAATAGGATATGGGAGTCACCCATATTGGATGACAGGAAAGTGTGCATTCCAATGTAGGTACAGAAAAAGATGCTAGCCTCCAATCTCTATGTGGCAGGAACATCAGCTATGCCAGTATTGGGACTGAAAGCCCTACAGACACTAAACCTGATAAAGATCTTAATGGCAGTAGAATTTCTTGACTTGCCAGGATACTCTGAGGTCAAGCAAGTTATGCCACACAAAACATGTGCCATGGTGATTGTCTCTACTAACCAAACCATAGGAGACGAATGAAGTTCAGGTCACAGAGCAGCAATTGCATAACTGAGGAGATGGTGACAGAAAACTGCTAGAGCTATATGGAACTGATATTCTTAACACACAAACAAAGCAATAATGGTGTAAAAGTGTAGTCTTACCCATGCTCAATGACCTCAGTCACGAATTGGCAGCAGCAAGTATATAGTATTTAGCATGCTAGACACTCATCTGAGATCATGACAAGTCAATCGGGGTGGAAACAATAGCAAACTCAGTACTTTTGACATCCTGTTCAGAAGGTGGTGGTTGAAGAGACTGTCCTTTGACATATTATCCATGCTGGAGATCTTTCAAAGAAATATCTGCAATTGTATCTCTCCCACAAATATAGCTATGATCTGAGTTGGATTAGGGACATTGCTTGAGGATGGGAATATTTAATCTTCCCCACTGCACCTTTTTCCAGGTTGAAATTGTCCATGAACCTATTCTCTCTCTCAAGGTGTGTGTGTGTGTGTGTGTGTTTTTACTGGTTCCGCTCCTGTGCCACAGCCCGGCATGCAGAGATTAAGCAGCTGAAGCTTTCCCCTACAGTGAAGTGAAACACTTCATGCTTAATTTCCATAACAGGCTGCTGATAAAGGCACAGGAGCAGGGCCAGTTAAGAAGTTGGCAACTGCAAAATTATCACTGTGGCTACAGCATGTCTTGTACTTAAGGAAGTTGGGCCAGGTAATTCTATATGCTCTGCAGCTCCTTGCATAAGCAGCCACTTGGACTTTCACAGCAGTGTTTCAGAAGCATTCAAAACCCCAATTACATGGTGAGGGGGAGGACAGGGGAAAAGGCAGTGTGCAGGTACCTTCTCACCAGGAAACAGAAAGCTATGAGGTAATCTAAAACAGTCGGTTGACTCACTGCCTCCTTAAGACGCACCCAATCTGAGGTACACAGCTGTGGCAACTGGAGGAACTAGCTATGATTCATAGCAGGAAAGGTAAACAGAAAGGCTCAGTGGAGTGTTGGCTAGCAACTCCTGTCTAAACTTTTAGATCATATTCTGGAAGCCTACTCTGGCAATTATTCCTGTACATTAATGATAAATTTTAAAAGGCACTTTTGGTTCATGAAATGTGTGCTTTGTCAGAAGCTGCCTTGAGCAGAACTGCCAACTTTTTAAGGGTGGGCGTGTTAACTTGTGGCCCTCCAGATGTTGTTGGACTACAACACCCCACATCCTTGATCTTTGGCTCATGTTGGCTGAGGTTGATGGGATTTGAAATTAAACTACTGTACATGTATTGCATATCCTTTAGCTCAGCAGTAGCCAAGATGATGCCCTTCAGATGTTGGACTACAGTTCCCGTGAGCCTCAACCAGAATGGCCAAATGGTCAGGGCTGATGGGCACTGAAGTCAAATGACAGTGGCTACTCCCCATTCTGGGTTAAACCACAGAGCCTAGGACTTGCCGATCAGAAGGTCGGCAGTTCGAAACCCCGTGATGGGGTGAGCTCCCATTGCTTGGTCCCTGCTCCTGCCAACCTAGCAGTTTGAAAGCACGTCAAAGTGCAAGTAGATAAATAGGTACCGCTGCGGCGGGAAGGTAAACGGTGTTTCCGTGTGCTGCTCTGGTTTGCCAGAAGTGGCTTAGTCATGCTGGCCACATGACCCAGAAGCTGTACGCAGGCTCCCTCAGCCATTAAAGCGAGATGAGCGCCACAACCCAATAGTCGTCCGCGAGTGGACCTAATGGTCAGGGGTCCCTTTACCTTTGCCTTTGCCCCCCATTCTAGCTGTTCTATTAACAGCAGTTTGATCTACAGAAATTAACTTGTTTCATGCTGTTCCATAAAGGTTGCATCCAATGACTTCTGCGTATCAAAGCTCTCTTAGGCACATAGGCCAAGCTGGCAGTTTTCTGGCCAGCCTGTCAATTCAATTTGTACACGTTTGACAGATTACGTAGGAAGAGATTAATAAATGCAATAAATGTGAAGGGAAGTGGAAATATATTAATATTCATTAACCTGTACTACTGACATGTTGTAAGGGGGTAGTAAGGGGTATAGAGTGTGGCGTGCTTGTTTTAAATTTCTGTAATTATTATTATAATTTTGCTATACATTAATAAAAGCTTTTTTTAAAAAAAAATCAATAAATCACCATTAGCATCTGGATGTGATCTAAAGTGGGGTGAAAAAAACACCTGGCTTTGTACTGAAGCCATGTCTGCATTAGTCAAAAAAATCCTTACAAATTTTTTGCCTTAGAAGAAGCATGGCTGCAGAGGTGTGGCTCTAGAGGTTGTCATGAAGAATGCCTGCACTTGAGAATTCATCACTACATCCGTGCCATAAACAAGACCCATTGAACCATTTCCCTACCTGCTTCATGTAACCCAATCCACCAGCTCCCTCCAGCTTGACTGTGTAGCCCAAGAAAGGGATTATGAACAAGGAGCATGCGATGAGTGATATTTAAAGAAACAAACTTCATCAGCTCATGCCATCACCTATGCCATAAGGAGGGTTTAACTATATAGACAGGACTGTGTGGAACATGGGAAGCTGCCTACGTTTGAATCTGACCATCTACTCCAGTACTGTCAACACAGGCGTGGTTTCACAGGGGCCTTTCCCAGCTCTACTTGGGAGATGCCACAGACTGAATTTGGGACCTTTTGTATGCAAAGCAAGTGCTATAAATCTGAGCTAGGGCACTATGTGCCAGCAGTTGATTGTAGGATAATGTAGAGGAATTCACCTCCATGTGCATTTATGGCAGTGACTGCTCACTTTGTATTTAATAAGCAATACAGTGTTTATTGTGGCACAGAGAATAAAAACCTGATTTCTGCCTATAGAGTCCATCATATAATTATCATGAATGAGACAAAGGCGAAGGAGGAAAAAACGGAAGATGGGCGGGGAAGAATCAGAAGAGGTTACAGAAAAAGTGGAGCTCTCCAGTAGAATTCAAATGGAATTGGCAACAGAGACATAGCCACCTTTGTCTGTAATTATTGCTGTTCCGACTACCCATCTATAAAGCAGGGCCCAGAGTACAAATATTTTTTCTCTCGGCACGAAGATGGATGAAATATCTATTTAGCAGTCTCACTTTTGAGATTTCTCCCTCTCACTTTGAGGTTATACCCTTCATGGAGGCACGGGTGTAGCCAGGATTTTTGTTATGGGGGGCAGAACCTCAGATTTGTATTGATTTTGATTGATTTAAGGGCGGCATCTGCCCCCCCTCTTAGCTACGCCCATGGATGGAGGCAGCATTTGTTGCCACCACCAGAACTATGAGGCTAGCTGAATTTCCCCTACAGATGGCTGTACACATCTATGGGTAGAAACATTAAACAATAACAATTATTATTATCGAAAACCTAGTCAGCCGCCCCCATCGAAAGTGCCTGCTCTTGCCCGCGGGCCCCGCGAGTCCTAATGGAATAACTTCCACGCCACGTGGCGGAGGCCGCAGAGCAGCAACTGCTCCTCCGGCAGGAAGCGCCGGGCGGTCTCGCTGGGAGGCTCAGCCCGAGAAGCTGCGCGCCGGCGAAGCGGAGGCAGCAACTTCCGCCTCCTGCTGGATCGCCGCCCAGCCGCCCAGCCTAGTTTCGCTCTCCCGGGGAAAGGGAGGGCGGTGGAACTTTGCCCTGGGTGCGATTGTGGCGTCACAAAGGCCCGGCGGCCAATGAGCGCGGGAGGTGAAAATAGCGCCCTATAAGTAGCAGGGCGTTGCAGCGGGCCGAGAAGACGTGCCAAGAGGCTACGCAGGTGCCTCTCCCTTACCTGCGGCTTCTCGTCCTTCGGCCTGGAAAGCCGCCTGCACGTTCTTTGCATTGTATCCGTATATTAAAAGTGAGGCGTCTAGAACGCGAAGTTTTCTGCCCTCGGCCATTATCGTTACCGCTTTCTGGATTTTGACAAGTTAGGATCGCCCCCCCCTTCGCTGTTAGTAGGTGTCACAAGCGCGAGGACCTTTCGCCACAGCTTGGTTAAAAATGGATTAATCGGCGGGTATCACGGCAGTTCACTGTTGCACTGCTTTTTACGCCTCCGTGGGTTCGAGGTGACGGCTATAGCGAAGGTGCTTGGCATCCGCGACGTCCCAGGTTGAGTGCCTGGCATCTGCAGGTTGAGCTGGGAAGAAACCCTGGAGATTATGAAGCCCTGGAAAGCCCCTTCCAGGCTGAGCTAATGGACCAGTAGGGTTTCTGTATTCCTGCCTTCCCGGTGCATTTCCCCGCCTGTGTGTTCTTTATTTAGGGACACCGAAAGCTGCCTTATTATACTTGGTCACACCGTTGCTGCAATATTGTCAACACCCTTTAATTCAGTTCTGTTCATAAGTTTATTGTTCTGTCCAAAGGCCATGGCAAACTTGCAGAAACAGTATCTATAAAATAATATTGAACATACAAAATGTAAGCCAATATCCATGATGTGTGTGAGAGAATTCACCAGAGACACAAGCAAGCTTAAATCTATCTTAATTTCAGATGCTCAACATGTGGAAACTGCTTTGAGGGTTCCTATTTTTTTAATTGAGCAGGGTATAAATGTTTTGAAATAAAATGGTGAACTCTGACACTTTCACACTGAAATGAGATATAGAGTTGTATTTTCTCCTAATTGTAGATGCTCATGCACTGAGAAGGCCAAAACGATAATGTACAGTTTGCACAGATCTGGAATTACTGCTAGAGGTGGTGTGTGATCACTTTTCTGGTGCAGACTGCACTAAATAACCATGGTCACACTCACCATACCACTCTGAATGGTAATGGTTTCCCCAGTGAATCCTGGGAATTCTAATTTGTTAAGGGTGCCAAGAGTTGATAGGAGACCCCTCAAAAAGCTACAGTTCCCAGCACCTTTAACAAATTACAGTTCCAAGGATCCTTTGGGGGAAGCCATGATGTTAAAGTGGTATAAGGGTGCTTTGAATATACGGTGTTTATGTGAATCATAAGTATAATCTGCCTCCCCAACCCTGCACATGCAGGGTGATTTTGACACCAGACTACCTTCAAATATGTAATCTTCACAGCGCATAATGAGGTGGTGCAGCTAGTTTCCTGAACATTTGAATATCTCTTAGGTTTACATGTCACAGCTAAGCAGCAAGTGCAAAAACTAGTAATTATGCCACTAGATAACATCTCCACAAGAGCAAAAAAGCATTGTTACGAGGTTTCTTTTTTGGGGGGGAAGTGCGGGCAGGTAGGATGTATACCTGAGCCACCTTCCAATTCCTGAATCCAGCAATTATTAAAATCTAAACAAGGATTCAAATTGCTGAAAGAACCAAGCAAACCAAACCCTGGGTGAGCACCTGGAATTTTTCATTGCTTTTAAGATTCTGGCAGCATGCAACAACAGCATTGTCCTTTAACTCTTTGCACTGTAAGATTTCACCATCTGAAATTATTGGGATTAGGAAGAAATTGACTCCAGATAGGTATGGGACTTATATGAGCCTGAATTTTGTTTTTATCATCTCCACCCTGTGAAGTGGTAACTCCCATTTTGTTTTTTTATACCCAGTCTTGGTGATGCAGAGCAGGAGTTACATTAGGGGAGAGCAGGGGAGGAAGGCTCCCTTTTGGATTTGAAGCAGCACCTATTTATTCCTATATTTCTGGCTAACTCATCTGTTTTACCCAGTGACTCTGAGTGACTTTTAAGGATAATTAAATGGGATTGTGTGCTGGATTTCCATGCGAAAGGGATAAATTATTCTATTGAAAAAAGAAAAAAGGCTGGTGGCAGTTGTGTTCATAACATTACACTGGGTGTTACTGAGACAACAGTGAATAATAGAGATGGAAGGGATCCTGAGGATCATTTAGTCCAACCCCCTGCAAGGCAGGAATATGCAGCTGCCCCTTATGGGGATCAAAAGCTGCTTGTGTTTTGCTTGTGTGGCAAAATTCTGCTTGCTCACAATGGAACACTGCTTTCTGTGGTTCCACAGCTCAATGATTTTATTTGTTTGAAGAATTAAAAAGAAGAGATTGAATTCTAATGTATTTACGTACCAGGCCTGTTAATTGACATAATAACATAGGGCAGACTGAAGCTAAGGTGAGCTCAAAACAACAGCAATAATTTTTTAAAAATCATTTATGGACCTAAGTTGTGCGCGTCAGTTGGTCAGTCCACAAAAATGAATTTGCCTTACACAACTGCCACTGCTCTTGATTATTTCAGGCAAACAGTTATATTGGCAGTATTCTGCCAGTTTTATTTTCACAAGGATTCACTGTTCTCATGCTTATGAAACACACCCTCTTGTGTGTACAGCGTTCTCCCCTCTCCCCACTGCTTACTTGAAATGTTTATCCTGCTCAAAAGATTAATGCTTTGGTACTCTAACTGTAGGCCAAGTTTCTGGTAGAAGTCCTTCCTTCACTGTTGAGAGGGGCAAACAAGGTGAGACACTGCAGACAATCTCCTGTCTCTAATGTTTTTGCAAATAAGCATCTGAGGGAGGGGGAGAGTTTGGGATGACAGTGTTAGACTGTTCCCTTTTCATGATTCTGGCTACTCTATCCAATTTGTTTTTCAGCACAGTTTCCTCCCTCCCAGCAAAAATTAACTGGCCAGCCAGCCATTCCATATCCACTGACCATGCTCAGGCCTTATTGGGCTATTTAGGGGTCTCCTAAATCCCCACCTAAAGATTTTCCACTAAAGATATAATAAATAAGGGAGACATTCCCTAGGGTTGCCATATTTCAAAAAGTTGTCAAGCTTTTTAAAGGAAGACCCCAAAATTGTTGAGCTTTCCTTAAGATACCCATCACAATTGTTGGGAACAAACCCAAATTGTTGAGCTCCCCCCCCCCCCAATAGTGATTTTAAGCTTTTGGAGCTGTTTCTGCTGCTTTTTCTATCGTGTTGCCATACATCCAGGTTTTCCCTGACATTTTGCCAGTTCAGCAAAATTCCCCCCCGATGCCATTTTTACACACGACAACCAGGACATGTCAGGAATTTTCCTGTCATATGGCAAGCCTACATTCCCAGTCTCTCATAAAAATTTTCTCTCTGCTGCATTTTCTACCTTGTAGCTTCTTCCTGAACTTTCATACAACTATCACCATCTCCCCCCATGAGGTGGCTAGTAATCCCTGGAACTGGTGGAGCAGTGGTCAGGGCCGCTCATGGGAGCCGGAGCCAGGGGTCCACTGGAGGCAGAGTCAAATTATTCTATTTCTCATCCTCCTCCCTTGCAAAAAATATAGTAGGCAAGTTAGCAATTCTCAGGCATAAGCACTAGAGGACAAAGGTCGAACATACAGAAACAGGTCAGTGGCAGAGCATGTGCTTTGAATACACAACCACCCAGTTTCTACCTCTGGCATCTCCAAGTAGGACTGGAAACTAGAGAATTGGAATCTTACTTTATAGGAAGGACCATAGTTCAGTGGTAAAGCACCTGCTCTGTGTGCAGAAGGCCCCAAGCTGAATCTCCAGATAGGACTGGGGAACACCAGCCCTCCACTATCTGAAACTCTGAAGAGCTGCAGCTAGGCAGTTCAGACTGCACTGAGCTAGATGGGCCAGTAGTTTGTCTCTGAAAAAAGCACTTCCCTGAAGTGACGGTTTGCTCTGGATTTTGGTGTTTGGTTTTACTGTTTTTTTCAAAAGCAATTTGTGTTGGATTTAAATTGTTGCAAGCCATTTTGAGGTACAACGATAAGAAAATATGAAGTAATCTGTAATATTTATTGTGCTACCTGGCAAATGGAGGGGATCCCACGAGAACCCCTCTCCCTCCTCCTTGCTACCTTGTTGTTGGCATCTTTTTGTTTCAAGAGACGATGGAGTGCACCTCTGGGGTGAAGTCAGACTGCTGTGCTGGCAGCACTGAAGTGACCTCCCTGGGGCACAAGCCTGGGCAGTGTGTGTTGAGGTCCTGGGCTGCCCAGATGAGAAGACCTCTCTCTTGGCCTTGCTGACGTGGTCCAAAGGAAAGAAGAGCAATACATCTGGCAGAGCAATACACCAGCTTAGCTGCAGGAGTTGCTGGAAGGAGGTATGCAAGGCACTATTGAACTGCCTTAGGGACTCCACTCTCGATTTGTGTAGAGTTTCTCCTTGGCCATTTTTTTCTCCTGAAGATATCCCACAAGGCAGTGAAGGTTTAGGACCAGAGTTTTCCTTCTCCTAGATGGGTTACCTTCCCAGGTTGACAAGTCTCATCTGCCCCTCACTTTATTCTTCTGCTTTTTAAATATCATTTTTATTAAATTTTCTGATTTACAATTTAGAATATTCATTTAAACAACCTTAAAATATCAATGACTTCCCTTCTTCTCTTTCCGTGGTTCATTTCGCATAACATAAATCCCTGCATATTTTACATGAACTAAACCATTCAGTATTCCATTACTGCATTCATCAAAACTTATTTACACTGTTGAATTTATCTTAATGCTGCCAACGTTTCCGAGTGCACACAATTTCCCCCCATATATTCAATAAACATTTTCCAATCTTCTTTAAACATATGTTCTTCTTGTTGTCTTATTCTGTATGTTAGATCCACAAACTGCGCATATTCCATCAGTTTAAGTTGCCATTCTTCTTTAGTTGGGACCTCGCTCGTTTTCCATTTTGGGGCTAACAAAACATGGGCAGCAGTCATGGCATAAATAAATAAATAAATAACATTTTTTTGACACTTGGGAATTTCCGTCTGAATTATTCCCAAGGACTCACCTGTCCCTCACTTTACAGCACATGCAGAAACTGCTTTCTTGACCGCAAGGCCCACTATTAGTCTCATCTGCTCAATCTGCTGCCTTCACATGTGGGAGAAGTCCCTAACCCACCAAGGGTTTGAGACCCATCAGTTACCCTCACCTGGTTTAGCCGGCCAGTCAAATCCGTTTCCTAGGGTGTGGCTGAGTGCAGGGTGGGGACCAAAGGTGGACAAACTTGGCCAGAAGGAGGAGCACAATGTGTCCCCCACCAGAGGTACTACTTCTCCCCTCATACCCCATACACCCCATTTATATCTTCTAAACTGTATTCAGGAGAATGGAAGTGGGGGGGGGGAAGCTTGTTTAATATTGGATTCCTTGCCAGCTAGAACCATTAGCTGATCATAGAACATATGCTATGTCATAAGCCAGATTGGGAAAACATTGTAGGGGTTTTATCGTCAAAGAAAGTTTATACCACAGAACTATCGTCACATTGTGTTTGTTTTTACCTAAGTAATCTGGAAAGTATAGATATGATTATAGAAATACACTGGATTTGCAAACATAAACTCAGTGGAAATGTCCCAATATCAAACAAGTGACCTTCTGAGAAACAAAAATGGACTACAGTTTCCGAAGAAAAACACACAATATTAAACCATTTGCATTAGTTTTACCTCTCAGGGTCTGGTGAGTAGCTGGTTGTATAGCCGTAAAATGGTAATTTTGGGCCTATCTTCATGATTTCTGTGCAGTTATACAATATGGGTTCTGTGCTGGTTTAAAGCCTTGTTGAGAAACATTATAAAGCTAGGGGGAAAGGAATAAAATTTCGACGTAACTAGATATCATGGGGGGACAAGGACACGAGTGCCGCCAACCAGCCTCTCCCCTCATGTGTTTCTAGCAATATCTCATAAAAGAAACATGTGACATTATGTCATTGTACATAGCAGCATATCCTCATCATTGACTACTGCTTGCAGGGAGTGTGGAAATGCTGGACATGATTCTGTCACATCACACATTCCTTGTGCTCAACACGTCTTGGATGTTGTTGGAGTCAAATTCACATCCATCCCAGCCAGTGTAGTCAATGGTCAGGATGAAGAGAGCAGCATCAAGAGGGCCTCAGATCCCCCATTCCTGGCCTAAAGGGGGTTGTGGGTTTTTTTTTTGGGGGGGGGTGTTTTTATTTTGCTTATGTATTTTGTGTTTTCATATTGCAATTTTATCCTGTGAACCACCCAGAGAGCTGCAGGTACAGGGCGGTATACAAATTTAATAAACAATAAATAAAAATAAAAATAAACTGAATACCTCCATTACAAAATGACCACACACTGAAATCAGTATGAAGCCAGTTTGTAATTTGTTGTTCTCTAAGGGGTGCTGTGGTTCATAGGTCTGAAAAGAGAATCATTTAAGAAGCCATGACTACAGAGGTCTCTAGATGCATTGTCTATTGATGGGAATTAGCCACGATGGCTGAATTATTGAGAGTGTTTTAAATTTTTATTTGATGATTAAACTTTTATATTGTAATGCCACTGCGGCTGTAAAGTGTTCTGTATGTCTTATGCTATAAACTGCCCTGGAATTGTGAACTAATAATGGGAAAAAAGACAAAAGGAAGAAATATTGTTCCCAGTGATGGCAATGGCAGCTTTTTTTGCCAGGGCTAATAGGAGGGAATGATTGTCTGTGTCACAGGTATCTGGCAGGGAGGAAATGGTTAACCTCTCCCCGAGTGCTGTGGTCCTGATCCACATTAAAAAAAAAAAACACTTTTGCACCACTACAAAGGATGTTGATGCTTCACATGTAGTTTGATTCTTTGCCCCCTGGAAAATAAATTACACTCTAAATGCAAAAAAAAGAAAGAAAAAAAAAGAAAAAAAGCGCCCCTCTGTCCGCTGCTCCAGAAGGAACCAGACCAACAGATTCAAATTACAGGAAGTAAAGGTAAAGGGACCACTGACCATTAGGTTCAGTCGTGGCCGACTCTGGGTTTGCAGCGCTCATCTCACTTTATTGGCCGAGGGAGCCAGCGTACAGCTTCCAGGTCATGTGGCCAGCATGACCAAGCCGTTTCTGGCAAACCAGAGCAGTGCACGAAAACACCGTTTACCTCCCCGCGGGAGCGGTACCTATTTATCTACTTGCACTGGTGTGCTTTTGAACTGCTAGTTTGGCAGGAGCAGGGACCGAGCAACGGGAGCTCACCCCGTTGCGGGGATTCGAACAGCTGACCTTCTGATTGGCAAGTCCTAGGCTCTGTGGTTTAACCCACAGCGCCACCAGGAAAGCAGACTGCAAATAAACATTAGGAAGAATTTTCCAATGGTAAGAGCTGTTTGACAATGGAACCAGTGCTTTTTTCGGTCTGTACGGCATACCGCCGCCTCTCTCTCTCAACCCCCCCCCCAATTTTGCTGCTGCCACATGCCTGCGCCCGCATTTGCTTGCTCCGCCCCTCCCCGCACCTTTGCCATCTCCTCCTCTGTTGCTGCTGCTTCCTGTGGCTGCAGGCAAAGGAAAGCATACAGACACCGATTTTTCTTTCAAAAAAACAGTGAGTGGAACAGACTCCCTCTGAAGGTGGTGGGCTCTCCTTCCTTGGAGGTTTTAAAGCAGAGGTTGGATGGCCATCTGTCAGGCATTCTTTAGCTGTGATTCCTGCATTGCAGGAGGCTGGACTAGATGATCCTTGGGATCCCTTCCAATTCTACCATTATATGATTCTATGATTCTCGCTTTCTGCAAACAGAAATGAAACAGAGGGAAAAAGCAGAATTGCCCTTGCATGTTCTGCAGGCCTAAACTTCACAATCCATAGTTTAACGAAATATAATGGGGGAGGTGGGGTTGCAGTATATTACAAAATAAGGAAGCGGTTTCTAACTGTAGAACGTTCATTTATTTTTAAAATGCATTTAAATTCTCTTTACACAATGAAACCAGAGCCAGCTCAGTCATTAGAACGACTGAGGAAGCTGTCTTAGGCAGAAGCAGCCACCAAGGCATTAGTCCTGCAGGGGCCCCATCTGCCCTGCCGCCAGTGCAGTAGCAGCACTCGTTTCGGCCCAATCAGGTGAGATCCAACCCAAAATTGATGCCAATGATGGCACCGCTTCACCAGCGGCAGAGGTGGCAGGGCAGGTGGAGAAGCGGCTCCAGCGGCAGCAGGTATGACAGTGGGGGCTGCAGTGGCAGGGCAAGGCAGCGCTTTCTGTTTCGGCTCAAGCGGCAAAACAGCATGTGCCGCCCCTGAATGAAACACACACATATAAAGAATGAGTACAATCTGCTTCTACTTATCAGTGATATGATTTATATTACACCCTTCAGAAACGTTTTCTCCACAGCACTTCTAGAGCATTAAACAACATTTAAACAATTAAAAATGCAACAATATTAAAATGAATAAAAACAACATACTCAAAGCTCTGGGCAACATCCGGTGATGTCTGCCTGCTAGGGCAATGAAAATTTGCTTGGACAGCGGGACTTCTGGTTTCTCGTCCCCCCACATCTCCCCCAAATCTGTGCCAACAGTCCAGCACAGATTTGGTGAGCTTAAGGAAGACTGCAAGAGGAAGCAGAAGCAGAAGTCCAATTGTGTGAGTAGATCCCTGCTTGGATCTACCTTGGATCTCACCCCCTAAGTACTGAAAAATACACACATGCAACATTTATGTAATTTTCTTCTCATCTTAAAAGCTTACTATCCTGTTGATTACAACAATAACAATAACTAATAAGAGAAATAAGGGCAAAACATACAGTTAAGATTAGAACAAACAATTTTGTTGTAATAAAATTATCAAGTTTGCCAACATTAGGAAAAAACCAAAACAGTAATTTTCATTTTATTATTTGCCCTGGGGATAATTTTCAGCAGGACAAATTCAATATTTGGTTGATGTTCCCAGATAACGATGTGCAATCTTCTTGAATATATTAAAGATCCCTGTTAAAACACAGAAAAGTTTATGTTAAAACTGTGCATTGTCTCTTTTATCATCTAAGTATTTAAAAATGCTTTACAACCTTCACACTGGAGAGAGCCCATTTTGAATATGTAAGCAAGGACATTGACAACCTGGAAAGGGTTCGGAGAACTTGGCTCTACATCACTTTTTAGGAAGTGCTTGATTTTATTCATTCTTTTGTTTTATCATCTCCAGTTCACACCATTATCTTAAAAGTACATTGCATCAAGACTTACGACACGATCCAGCCAAACATTTAAAAGTTCAACATTGACTTCGGCAGGAGAAAGTTAAACACCTGCTTAACTTTCCCACTGAAATCAGACGCACTAATTTCTTAACTTTGCTGTGATATAAATATATGAAAAAGAATTGCTCGATAAAAATCCAAACCTTTGTTATTAGACAGTACCATTGTACCTACTTGTTGATCATTCAGAGCATCTGCTTTGCATCCAGAAGGTCCCCATCTAGCCTAGTATTGTCTACACAGGGTGGCAGCAACTTTCCAGGGTTTCAGATAGGGATTGAACCTGGGATCTTTTGACATGGCAAGGCCTAAGCTCCACCACTGAGTTACAGCGTCACCTGGCAAAGTGGGGCTGACTGCTCCATGCAAGTCACTGCTTCATTTACTCCAAAGAATTAGAGAGCCAAAGAAATCTACACATGTAGACTTGCTGCCCAGACAGTGAGGCTTGAAGGAGCATCACTTAGACCCTTCGGAAAATGTAATAATTAATTCTCTCGGTACTTCACTTTCAAACTTGGCTTTATAACATGGGCTTAATTAACAACTTCAGATTGTTCTACAGAGCTGGCACAAGAGAGGTTCAGTTTTGAAAAGGTGGGGCTGCTTTCAGGTGTGGTTAAAGATTACACTGCTTTTCGACAGTGGAATGCAGCGGTGCTCTTTTAAGTGGCAAGGTTCCACTTGAACTGTTGGCATAGCAATACACATGCTTTTGAGGTATACCTGAGGTGGCAGAGTAAATACATCCTGCTGTTCCACCTGGTCTGATGCATTCAGCTCACAGTGTCTGACTCAGCCAGAAAAAACCCCTGGAAACGAGAACCCCCCTCCCAACTCCCCCTGGTTTACACCTCTGCCCATAGATGAAGTGTAACTGTGGCAAAACAAAGACACAGCGCCACCTCTGGAATACAGAAAACAGTCCTCCAACTACATCAGGTTACATATGGGATAGTGTTCTTTCAGATTTATTTTTTTAGCCAGTTTATAAAAGTATTTCCAAACTGCCAACACATTTTTAAAAACTGTGGTGTTAAAAAAAAATCATAAAAATATGAAATAAGGAAACAGAGAACAAATGACTGACACTGAATCAAATTAATTCTCTGAAAATGCTTGGCAAAACAGAAATGTTTTCAGTCAGTGATGAAATACCAAAATGGTAAGTGCATGTCTGATTTCAGTGGGAACATGGTTGGACTCCAACTCCCATCAGCCCCAGGCTGTTTGTTCAGGGATGATGGAAGTTATAGTCCAGCTGCCATCTACAGACTACACATTCCCCATCCCTGGGTCCAGATCTGTTTTAAAAGGAATGTATTCATTGTAGCATTATACTGCAGCTTTGTAAACTGCTTAGGGACTATTGTCGTTAATATAAATTGTTTAAATGAATGAATTAAAAATAAAACTAGCTTGCTCTGGCTCCTATATATCAGAAATATCTAGAGATTCTAGAAAAGAAGAAGGGTCTCAGTTCTTCCCTATTATAACTGGCCAAGATTTCCAGGTCTAAGAGCTGATACATAACCACACCTAGCATAATCCATTAATGTGACTCAGCATCCCCCTGCAAATGTGCATTCCTTAAGAAGGCTTACTCATCAGCAGATATTGGTTGTGGCAAATTCTGATCAGACACATCATAAGCAAGAAGAAGAAGAAGAGTTTGGATTTGATATCCCGCCTTTCACTCCCCTTCAGGAGTCTCAAAGCGGCTAACATTCTCCTTTCCCTTCCTCCCCCACAACAAACACTCTGTGAGGTGAGTGTGGCTGAGAGACTTCAAAGAAGTGTGACTGGCCCAAGGTCACCCAGCAGCTGCATGTGGAGGAGCGGAGACGCGAACCCAGTTCCCCAGATTACGAGACTACCGCTCTTAACCACTACACCACACTGGCAAGAAGACTATTATGAAGAGCTGTGTGAAAGGAATGTTCAGTCTGACTTAGGCTTCAGTAGGTGTCACCCATGGGCTCCCATCTAATGTCCACCAGGTTCCCCTGTCCAGTGCTGCTGCTTGCCACTGTAGTTCCACACATTTCCTCTGCTGCTGTTCCCTCAGTCACTCTCCTCTCTTTCTGCCATGTCTTCAGACATTCTTTGGGGATGGGCAGCGGATGAGCCATTGCATTTTGGCAGTGGCGGACATTGGGCTCTCAAATTTCAGTGGTGCCTTGTGTAATGCCAAAATTCAGCTCCTCCCAAGCCTCTTGCGCTCTGTTCTACAGCACTGTTTAGTGCTCCCTGCAGTGTGGCGCCCAGTGCCACCACACCATTTGCGCCACCCTAAAACTGCCTGATTTGGGGCAAGCTAACATTGTAAGTGGCCAAGCACCAACACTTTGAATTGTGCTTGGAAACGTACTGGGAGACAATGCAGATTTCTCTTGTTCCCAAGAGTCTTTCAACATGTAAATGATGTGATTCACCACTATGACTGGTACATGCTCAAAGAGGAGTGGCTCACGCATGGCCCTCCAGATGTTGGAGTCTAGTTTCCACCAGCTGCAGTGAACATGGCCACTTTGGAAGTTTCAATCCAGCACCAGCTGGAGGTCTACAGGTTCTCCACCCATAACAGAGACAGACATACTACTCACAAAAGGATAATTGGAATTACACATGTAGATACGCTCCTGACCTGGCTGTTTGAATTCCCAAGGAAACCTAGCTCATATATAGGATTTTTGGGGGGGCATTGTGTGTTGATAACAACAATCTGAGTTACACCCCAACACAAACTCTGGCCTTGTTTTTCACTGATAAAAGTTGGCCAGAGTGACTGTGAAAGATGCAACAGCAACCGCAAATTGTCTTTAAACTCCTGATTATTACTCCAGTGTGGGCAATCCTATGCACACTTACCTGGCAGCAAGTTCCACTGGATTCAACAAGTCTGAGTAGGCATGCATCAGATTACTCTATTAAGGAATGCATACACCTTCAGCAAGCCAGAGGGTTTGTGGGTAAAAGCAAAAGCATTCATCAAGAGGTGTGTAATTTTCGGTTTCTAATGGCATTACTGACATCTAGTGGTAAAACTTACTGAACTTCAGTGCAGGGATTAAAATCTATTTTAAAGTTATGTATTAAAGGTTTGATCCAGCCAGTGTTAAAACGTTTTAAAATCTCATCCATTTGAATGGGAATAAAACATACACACGTTCTTAACAGAAGCCTTATTCTGGTGTTATTAGAACTGGGGTTGTTAAGACGCCCAGTGGAGCTGCCCAGAATAGCTGGGGTAATATAAGAACATCATCATCATTAATTGCAATAACTTGCAATAATTTGGGGGGCCATGCACACAGACCTCACCCCCAACCCGCAAACATCCACATGGATGCTGTTTTCAACCTTTGCATCTTCAATGCAAAGGACTGAAGGGAGCTTCTAAGAATATGTAGCTGAATGCCCTCAGAAGCTTGCCTAAGGTGAGGAGACCTGCGTAATGAGGTTTTGCAGTCCCAAGGAGGCACCTAAGCACCTTTAACTGAGCATGTGCAGAATATTTTTCTGCTGAACAAGTGAAGGTTGAAACTGGATCTAGCAAAGCCACAAACGGGTATGTGAGCACAGGGCTGCTGCCTGCAGCATTCGCACGACTTCTTTCACCTCAGTTCTAATAATGCCTGAATGCGCCGTCTGTCATTTAAACAATTGTGAGTGGAATGCAGTTAATTTTGGTCAGATCCCTCCGTGTCTTCATTATCTCAGGGCCTAAGTAAACATTACTTTAATTACATAGCTAGCAAAGACATCTGGATTTGTAAATACCTGGCATGTGTTTGGGGAGGGTGGAGTCATTTTCATGGGCACTACAGTGGATGTGTAGGGGAGGTTTAGCTTTCTTTCCCCAGCTGCGATCCCATTAGAAACTGTCACTGCCAGGGCCAGCCATGGATGTCCTGCCACTCCAGGCCAAACAGAAAATGCTGGCCCTCCCCGCTGCTGCCTCCGTGCCCACCTGTCTTCCTCCTCTGCTGCCGCCTGCCTCCTCCTCCTCAGTGTCTGCCTGCAGCCTTGGAGACAGCTGTGGCAGGCAGGCATGGAGGAGGCAGTGGCAGATTTTGGCAAAGCAGGCAGCCAGGCGCAGAGAAGGCACAAGAGGAGGGATCTGCCACCTGAGGCAATTTTCTGATCTCGCTGCCTAGGCAGTGCGGCCCTGGTCCCTGCAGGGCCATCAGCAGTCATTGAGATTATTATCATCAGGCTGTATATCATTTTGATAGGACCAATACCTAATTTCTTTCCCATTACCTGCTTCTTTGGAGTTTAGCCACTTTACTTTCCAGTAGTAGGGAAACGAGCATTTTTCCACGATTTTTGACGTCGTGGTAGGCGACCAATTGGCTGATTTTCGGCAAAGTCCTTCAACCTCTTTCCAACCACGTCATTAATTAAGCCTGAAAATTTAATTGCTTTGAATGGGAGTTTATCCAATGAGCCATTTAGATAATTTCTTTGAAGCTATAGTCGGCACGGCAATTGTACTGATTTATTTTGATGCATAGTTGTCCACAAGGGCTCAGGGGATAATTAGATATCATTAGGAAAAGAATACATAGTTCATAAAACATACATAGGTCAGAAACTAAATGCAAAAAGGCTAGAAAATGAAAGAAACAGAGGTTTACATGTGCAGGAAAGTGCTTTTCATCTTTGGGTGTTGTCTTGTTTTCGGAGTTCCTTAGGAAGATCAATGATAGTCAAGAGATACATATGCCCAGTGCTTTTTTTCCTAAAAAAAATGTTTAGGGGTACTCCAATTTTCCTACTTCTATTTAAATACTGCCCCTCAGTGAGGCAAAACTTAGATTCACAAAGATTTTAGGGGTATGCATACCCATAGCTGTCAACTTTTCCCTTTTCTTGCGAGGAATCCTATTCGGAATAAGGGAATTTCCCTTTAAAAAAGGGAAACGTTGACAGCTATGTGCATACCCCTATGTCCCCCCAGAAAAAAGCACTGTATTGTCTTTAGATTTGCATGTCCTAAAAAAACCACTGGCACATGCATGATTCCCCAGCACAGCAAATCCTGTCTGAAATTTGGGGTGCCTGGGTCTGCTGCCCTAAGACAGTCAAAAGTCCCATTAGGCACGTTTATGAAATTTTAAATACATAGGAAAGGAAGGAAGGGCAGGATATGACTTGAAGTAAAAACTTTCCCACTAGTTTCAGCATGAGAGACTGCTCAAATCATTTGAGCCAAATTTAACTTTGGCTGACTTATATCAGAAAGAGCAATTCAACCACGAAATCCATTACTTATAAAGGTGGTGGCCTCTCCCTGGTGGAGCTCTTTCAGTAGCAGCCAACTATTAGGGATGTTCTAGCTCTGGGTTTCTTGAACTGAGCAGTAGTTGGACAATATACTCTATAAGATCCCCACTAACTCCACATGATTCTATGAAATATACAGTTAGAAACATTAGTTTGCATCTAGCATTGGAGGGTTCCCATATTTTAAAAAGTAAGAAGACCAGGACACCCTAAAAGTTGTTGAGCTTTTTGAAGGACGACCCCAAAATTATTGTGTGTGTCCCCCCGCACATATGGCAGCTGTGAACATTAGCTACAAGTAGACCCACTGTAGCTAACAGACGACAGCTAATGAAGGTCCATTAATGTCACTGAATGGAATTCAATGGGGTGCAACCCAGAACTACTTATTCACAATAGTTCAATAAACATTCCTGTTATTGGGCTTGTCATTCTAAGTTTTCTCAATAGTTTTTGAATCAGCCTTCTTATTATGTACCAGAAACAAAATTGGGCTCACATTTGGACTTCTCTTAAGTTTACCTACATCAACTCTTCATGGATAATTTGCAAGCTGAGTTCTAACAGTAAGTGTGTTTATAACAGTGAAATATACTTGTAATGCTCAATTCTGTTTGTTTGTTTGTTAATAAGAACGGTACCTGAGATCACACTTGGAGTGGATCTAAACACAGGAAAAATAAGTCAGAAATTAGATCTTGTTAACAAAGGAAAATAATCTCTATGGAAAATTGAGTTTTTAAATTTCCTGGTCTCTGGTGCCATCTGGTGCTGCATGTTTATAGTGCATTCAAATCGCTGTTTCTTTACTAATGTAGCTGAGTCCCTGATCACAGTGACATGACTTTGCTATTCTGTAATCAGTCTGTATGGTAATTTCTCTATGGTTATTTCTACTAACTTACAGTCAGTCATTACTCTTCCTAGCTGGTTCGATGCCATTCTTTTTACCACGCCGCTCATCAAATATGGAAGGAATTCTTTCTCAATATCTATATGATGTAAGAGAGCAAAAGAGTCCACCTGGATCAGTCCAAAGACCCACAAGACCATCCTTCTGCCCACACAATAGCCACCCGGATGCCTCTGAGAAGCTGAAAGGCAGGACAGGAGTGCAGTGACATCTCCCCTCTAGTGCTGCCTAGCAACTGATATTCAAGAGGCATACTGTCTCCGAGAGGGGAGGCAATACATAGCCACCATGACTTGTGCCCTGTCTGAAAGTCATCTAAATTGGTGGGCATCACCACGTTTTGTGGTAGTTCAGTTATACATTGCTTCACAGAAGGACTTCATTTTGGAACAAGCAAAGATGACCAGGATTCTTCTGTTCTAAGCTGAGTGGTCTGAAATATACATCTCTTCTTTTTAATGCTCCAAAATATCTCAGCTGTCTGCAGATATGTGTGTGTCCTTGTTCAGTTCATTTTAGCTGATTCTTTCCACCAGGGGGCTAACCTGTTTTTTGGTCTGAGGGGCACGTCCACCCTTTGCCAACCATGTACCAGTTGTGGGTGTAGCTACCTTCACAAGGCTGTGTACGCACAGGACACACATAAGCACACAGTCCATGTAGATCCATGGATCATGGGGTGGGGCGTTATCAAAAGGGTTGTTGATCTGATGGCTAGGGAGGTGTGAGAGGCGTCCCTGTTAAGGTGGTGGACTGGGTGGAGAGGTTTAAATATCTGTCTTTTTTGCCAGTGTCACCAGAATTGGGGGGCCAGAAAAAAATTGCTTGGGGAGGCCTGGTTAACCCTCAGCTGGGGGTTAATCAGCCCTGAACTTTGTGATGCAGAATTCCCGTTTTAAAAGCTTATGTGCAATAAAAAAATGATACATACCTCTTTCTATGATATCGAAGAAGAAACCCTTATTGTGAAGATCATTAAAGACTGAAGGAATGAGGTTCGACAAGTATCGCAGAGAAAAGGCTCGAGATGAAATTTTCTGCTTGACTTCTGATGACTTTGTATTTGCGGTGACCTGCTGCGCTTTACGGCGAGCCTTTAAATAATAAGGAAAGGGTGCATATAACTTCAAGAAATGTAGACATTTTTCTATGGAAACATAGAATTGTAGAGCTGGAAGGGAACCTAAAGGTCATCTAATCCAACCCCTTGAAATGTAGGAATCTTAACTAAATCATACATGACAGATGGCTACCCAATCTCTGCATAAAATATGCCAGTGCTCTAAAACAAACAAAAAAACCCCTTTAATTAAGTGCTGAAAAGCTTGCTGAATCCTGACAAAAGAAACTGTAAGAATCCTATTAATTACTTTTAATGAGATATTAAAATCTTTATTAATCTTTATTAATTTGTGCAGTGTGTGAAGAAACCATTTTCATAAAAAGAAAAAAAATGATACAAGAAACGGAAACTGAAGAGAACAATACAGCATGTACTTCATCCCAGGCCTTCAAAAGCTTATTTTCTTCCAGTGAGCAAATCTATGAAGGAGGAGTGGAGAACCTGTGTCCTGAAGATGCTATTGGATCCCAGCTCCCATCAGCTGTAGCCAACATGGTCAATGCCCAGGGATGATGGGATCTAGAGTCCAGCAAAGGAACTATTTCTGTTTACCTGTTTTGTATTTTAGATCACCACATCTTACCATGCCTTTGTGTGATAACACCTATTTCTGTCTGCTGATGGCAAGGTTTATGGCCTGGCCTTTGATGAAACAAGGCAGCTTTCTAACTAAGTGGTTGCCTGTGGTGAGTGACAATTGCTCCCAGGTGACCAGGTGAGGTGCACCATCAGCACTGCCTCTTTCCCCTATTGTGCTTTTCTCTTTTGCTCCCTTAGTTCTGCAAAAACACTGCTCTGGCCATATTCCACTGGTGAAACCCAACCATTCTCAGATGCTATGAGTGTGGCATGTAGCTATACAGTCCCAAATCCACTTGTATGTGATGCCTCATCCATCAAACAGTGGTACCTCTGGTTGTGAACAGGATCCATTCGGGAGGTCTGGCCGCATCCCGAGGAATTCATAACCGGAAGTGCCACTTCTGTGCATGTGTGTGGCCCACTTTAGTGTTTCTGTGCATGCATGCATGCGGCACGGCTTAGTGCTTCTGCACATGCACATGTGGCGAAACCCAGAAAAATACTCCCCCAGGATACGTAACTGGAGGTGAACGCAACTAGAGGTACCACTGTATTTGTTAAGTAGCTACTAGAGGCATCAATATCAGCTTCTGGAGTATTTGGAAAATAATTGTGAACATGTGAAAGTGTTAGCAGGATTAAGGTAAATTTAACAGCATAATATAAAACAGAGGGATAATAAAGGGAAAAGAGAACTAAATGCTTGAACTGGTGGAACGATTTCCTTAGTGCTACACTGAATTCCACCCACTGAAATGAGTGCATGTGGCAAAGTTTGGTCTAATTATTTCAATAAATATACTCTGAATAAAACTTACTTGAATACCACTCTTTGTTTTATTTGTACACCACTTAGAGATGATTGTAATTAAGTGGTATATAAATGGTCCAAATAAAGATCATGGTGTATTTGCATTGCGCCAATCTCCAGGCCGCCTTGCCTTTCCCCACTTCCCAGTAACCAGCAGCAACCCAGCTATTGGGAGGTCAAGTGAGCCCAACTGCCTCATCACCCCATCCACGACTGGTGGAGATGGGCAGGTTTGCCTTACCTGACTTGTTTCCTATTAGCTGTACTAAGATTGTAATGGCACTCTTATTCTGTGCAGTCATACCTTGGATCTCAAACGCCTTGGATCTCAAACAATCAAAAACCGGAAGCAAGTGCTCTGGTTCTCGAATGATTTTCAGAAGCTGAACATCTGGTGCAACTTCTGCTGCTTCCGATTGGCTGCAGGAGCTTCCTGCAGCCAATTGGAAGCTGTGCTTTGGTTTCTGAACGTTTTGGAAGTCGAACAAACTTCCGGAACAGATTCCGTTTGACTTCCAAGGTATGACTGTATTACATTTATTATGATGTCTATCTCTTTGTGATTTTACAGAACGAATAGCGGGTTAGGAATTTTTCAAATGAACAAGGAAACTTGGGTTCACACCAGCCAGTGTGATGTAGTGGTTAAGAGCGGTAGTCTCGTAATCTGGGGAACTGGGTTCGCGTCTCCGCTCCTCCACATGCAGCTGCTGGGTGACCTTGGGCCAGTCACACTTCTTTGAAGTCTCTCAGCCTCACTCACCTCACAGAGTGTTTGTTGTTGGGGAGGAAGGGAAAGGAGAATGTTAGCCGCTTTGAGACCCCTTAGGGTAGTGATAAAGCGGGATATCAAATCCAAACTCTATACCTTTTCCTCATTCCTTCGTATCTCTTGCTGTTCAAGGCGCTGGACTTCAGCCAGCTCTGCGTTGCGCAGTTCGTGATATCCGAACTGGTGCGCCTGAAGATTGGCCAGCTCTTCTTCCTCCGTGACTTCCAGCAAAGCTTGCTCCACGGTTTTTCCAACTAAAACTTCAACAATTGGTCTGACTTCAATATCAAAGTCAAAGAGCTGAGGATAAAAAGCCAGTGCTGAGTCAACACATAATGTTATGTTTTATGAAGGGGGAACAGAAATAACTGACTTCTGAAACAATTTCTGAAATTACAAATGAGCCTTTCATTGGTGACAAGATTGTTGCCGTACGTCCGGATTTTCCCGGACATTACCAGTGGATTTCAAAGGCGGAATTGACGTCCGGATGGAATTTCAAGTCAATTGAAAAATCACGCTTTTGTAAAAAAAAGTTCAACAACAAGCAAACAAAAAAACCCCTCAACAATTTTGGGGTCTTCTTAAAAAACTTTTTGAAATAAGACAAACCTAGATAAGGCACTTGCAAGGAGCATGTTAATCTTTTGCAAATGATGGATAAACAGTAACACTAATAATAGCAAATGCTGAAGTCATAACTATTTTTACATTATTTGGAACTTAAAACAAACTCTGTCCAGAAGAAAATCCAAGGCTGCTAACAAATCTAGCAGGGGGAGATAGTGGGCTGGAAGTGGACATTCAATCTTAGCGTAGAGCCATTGAAATAGTGGGGCTTAAGTTAATCATAATTTAAGTTCTATTGATGTCCATGGGTCAACTCTAAGCATGATCATGGCTGGATCCATCCTATTGTGCCAGCTGTTGTCTGTTCTCTAGCTTCATTTCGTGGCAAAATCTGGCAGGGTCGGATATCCTATTAGAATTAGTTGCTTTTCATCTGAACCTGCAGAGCATTTCTGAATGCTTTAATTTAAGAGGAGAAGGGGTTTTACTGTTCAGGTAGTTTTATCAGGTAAATTAAGCTCTGAATACCTCTCCTTCTTCTATTTGTGTAGCGACATCTGCCCCAGTTTTTGATGGTACGAACAAGGGGCTGTCTGGTCTCAGCAGGAAAGCATCTGTTTGACATTCCATATCAACTTCGATAATGCGGTCTGCAATCTCTTCCAGGTACAATTCTGAAACAGTCACACAATGAAGACTATGGTTAGGGGGCTCCTAGCTTCCGCAATTTAAAATTGGCAGGGCTGACAAGAGGGGTGAGGGTGGGGGAAGCTGGTACAAATTACCAAGGTTCAGAATGGGATCTGGGGCCCGACTATCTTGCATATGTTTTATGTAATTCTTACCAAAATATATGTTTCATGGTCAGTGCATGCACAGAATAATGGCTTGTGAATCTGTGCTGTGGACCAAGCAATTCCCAGTATTTATATGAATTGGCTTCTGAGCTTTGACATTATTAGGACAATGCAGTCTCAACTTATTATGCTCAGCCACGTTTGTATGTGAACGCTGTACAAATATAACAAAGTTGTTATGTGATACTCATTGTGTTGCGTTACATGTATAAATTTAACATTTAAAGTGTATGGTAAGTTCAGCAATGATTGTGTGGGTGCTTATATTATTGATATACGGTAAGTCATTAGGCTCTTAATATCCTCAACAGGTACGGATATGATCATATTTATCATTAATGTAAAAATGAGACCACACATTTATTTTATATCCCATGTACCATAAATGTTTTTAGCTGGTCTGCCCTTGTTGGGGTGGAGAGGTCTGATTTTTTTTCCACCAGGGCTCAAACCCCCTCTTAGTGGCCCTGAGCATGGCTCCCATTGGCTATTTTTGGAGGAAGGGCAGGATATAAATAAAACCAACCAATCAATAATCTTTACTGAAATAGTGTGGGTCAGAGTCAACCAATGAGTTGTGTCAGCAAAAGCCCTGCACAAGGATTTCTGGCGCTTTACCTGTCTGCACATCGGCCCGGAGCTGGGGAATCTCAACCTGAGGGGCATGGACTTCGCTCTCTTCCTTTGCTCTCTTTCTGGCAAGCATTTTCTGGTGGGCTTCTCGTTGCTTCTGAATCTCAACAGGATCAGTTTCAGCGGGGCACTGGGAAATGGGGTGGAAAGTTCCTCTTAAAATAGCAGCTAACCTGGGCAGTAGACAGGGCTTTATTTCAGCCAGAACTCAATGGAACCATTCCCTCTGATTTACTTTCCAATCCCAACTAAGTTCTTCCTCCCCTGGAGAGATAACTGTGGAATCCCTGGATACTTTCAGAATCCACTATAGGTTCTAAAGTAGTTTTCCATATGCGTTAAACATGGCTTACCCCAGGATATTTGTCAGCCATGTCCTCTTAATCTGCAGCATTCCTCTGCTAACCCTGTGATGGCCCATTCACACATGCAAGTCGTTGCTTGATGCTGAAGTCATCATTTGATTAACATTAATGTGTGAACCAGCCCCAACAGTGTTCTCTTGGATATATGTGTGCATTTCCAACCACCATTTGCTTGTTTTCTCATGTTCAAGAAAAATATAAAGATTTGTGTAAAAAGGACCTACCCAAGGTAATGACTGAAGAGCATATGTGTTGCCTCGAACCACTCTTCTGTCATACATGAGATTCCCATAGCAGACTGGGTATTCTTCACTGAAATACATTAAATTAAGACAAGAAAAAGTTCAGTGGAGTTTGAAATGTTGTCGGAAGCTGCAGGAGCCCCGTCGGATGCTTGGCTTCCAAAAATAGTTCGCAAACTGGAACAGTCACTTCCAGGTTGGCGATGTTTGGAGCCGAAACGTTTGGGAACTAAGCTTTTGGACTTCCAAGGTACAACTGCCCAGTGCCCAGAATTCTTTAGTAGAAACAATGTCCTTTGAGGGTGCTTTAATGGTATAATGTGCAACATATTACTTCTGGTGGGTGGATTTCTTTAGAATAAGCCATGAAAGTGAAAGGTTACTGCCTGAAAATTCTCCCCATGAAGCCGAATGCTATGTAAGGTGACAAATTAATTAGCAAGTGGGGCATTAGCACAACAAGAGCCATATTGGATCCATCTCCCCTTTGTGAGGCTGGTGTACTGCGTTGTTCTGGTTAAGAGTAAAAGAGTAAAAGAATTACATGGCCCAAAAGTCAGAAAGATCTTAAGTCAGTAACAAACGGAAGCTTTGAAAAACAGGACAGCAAAGTTTATAACTGCATGATGGATTCACATGTAGTCTTGTTGCTTACAGAAAAATCCAGAGATACAAGGTTTTGCCTTCTCACGGAGAGGGAACATTTACAGTGTGCAAGAGATCACTTTCTACTATTTTACCACCAATTACAAAATCACATTATTCACATGGCAACCGATAGATAATTCTACTTTTAAGAACTTGAGTACAATGATGATGTACCATTTGTTCGTTTGTTTTCTTCCCGCTTTAAACTCTAAAGCTGTGTTCCCCAGCCTGCTGCTCTTTAGATTTTCTGAATCTGTCATTGGTGACATTTATTAGATTTTTCATGGAAAGGGAAAATCCAGATTAAATAGGGCAGGGGATATGATCTGGCATTGCGATGCCGATGATGTTGTGTGAACGCTGCGGAAAACCTGCATGTGTGAACAGCACCATTTCCATGGTAAACACCCAACAGGAAGCGACCTACAAGTCCCTTCAACCTTGACCATTGACCATCATGGCTGGGGCAGATGGTAACTGGAGTCCAAAAACGTCTGGCTGGAGGGCACAAGGTTAGGGAAAGCTGCTCTAAGGTAACTGTATGAGGAAATACAGCAACCCTAGAGTAGGTACCCCAATAGTGGGACACACTTACTGCTCATGTGGACATATGTGAGAGAAGAAGCAGAGTAGATGATAGGATAGAAAAAAGCCAAAGTTGGAGATGTGAGGGCCTGCTCATGCCAAGACAGTCTCCACTCTGGGACTGAGGACTGAGGCTAGGACTATTATGGTCAGGCAATGCTACTCACTGATCACTGGCTGTTGGATCTGGAAATCGTTTTCTAGAGGGCACAACTCGGGGGCGGGTGCTATAGGAGTAAGTACTAGATGCTGGAGCACCATTTGGGGTGAAAATCACTGAGCCTGTGGTCATTCTGAGATTTGTCCACTTTTATCCACTTTAGTTCTAATAGACTTTTCAGAGTCTTGGTGGCATAATAGAAGAATCCTCCTTGCCCACTGTTGCTAGGCGATGTGGAGTTCCATCCTAAACAACGGTTGTCAAGGTAAACTGATCCGGGTTAGGCAATTCTGCTGATTAGCTGGCACTCCAACATTCTGAACTTCTCCTAGACTTTTCCTGATAAATTTTCTCAGAGCCAATGGTCGCTCCTTTTTCTTAAATGTATCTTAGGCTGCACTTCTGTACCCACTAGTCTCAGAATAAGCCCTATTGTCATGGACTGGTTGAATGTAGAGGAATGGTGGGAGGAACCAGCAAGGGAAGAAGGCTCAGAGTCCAGGGATTGGTGGTGGGACAACAATGAGTGGTCATAGGGGGAAGAAGGAGAAGATTGGGAAAAGGAGATGTCAGAACCTGAAGAGGTAACAGGGCTTAGTGAGCTGGGAGATTCTGTGGCAGAGAGCAGTCCAGAATCAGCATCAGAAGCTGCAACAGGAGGATGGGAGGAGAGAGGCCAAGAGGTCGAAATGAGTCAGGCTGGTGAAGAGTCATGGGTGTCTCTCCCCTCTACTGTGACCAGCTCCTGTTCCCCCTTGTATCCTGGAACCAGAAGAGGCATGAAGAGGGAGGAGGAGAGGTTGGTTGCATGCAGGTGCTGTCTCTAATTGCTTGGGGGAAATCCTGGGGAGGCAGGGACTTTCAGTCTTGGCAACTGATCCATGGGGCAAGACCTACTGGGTATGAGCTGCTAGGCTCATTAGGCCCGACACTCCGCCAGGTCTGTGCTCTTGCTAATAAAGAGTGAACTCCAACTTGCATGGCGTTACTGCCTACTCACTCCTGACACCTACTGAACTAAGTGGGTCCTACTTGTGAGTAGGATTGCCTGTTAATTTGGATTCTGACATTATACAGGGAAAGCATATTATAAGCATTTGCCTATCCTTCTGTTGTCTTTAACATTTCCTCTTCAAAGCTGTTTTTAAAAACTACTTTTATGCTTACATCAGGCACAACAATGAAAGAAAAATGAGAATATGCCAGTGCTGTTCTTCTGTTGCCAGTTGAACATGAGGAAAGAGGCAGATGATGCATGTCACTGGTGTCATAGCATTTGCAATGGTCACTCCTGGGAGTTTTACCACAAGATGTCACTGCGATCCTTTTGTGTGTGTGTCACTGAACATATTTTCCTCTGACTGCAGCCTCAGATAGCGAGATGTTCTCAGGCATACAGCTTTTGTGCAGATGAATACAAATGTACACTGCTGTAATCAACATAGTATTTGATACACAGTAAAATAATGTCTCGACTATAAAACATATACATCACTCTGAATTAGAGTCATGGAAAGAACTATGTGTAAAACACACACAGGCTGATAATTGCTTTGATGTAAAAGAAGCACATGCTTACTGGAAAAGCTCTGCTGTGTGCATGAAAAAAACCCCAATTGTCCAACAACAGCCAACGCAGTGTAAACAAGTTGATTCCTTTCGTTGTTGCTGAGTAGTCGCTTGACATGTAGAAGTTAAGCAGGTGAAACCTTCCCTGTCACTTTCCTTGGATTACTTGATCTCATTGGTGGCTAGCTTCCAGTTTGCAGCACTAATCACTGGTAGACAAACCTGCCCCATGGCAACCATGTTCTGCCTCCACCGTCAGAGGCAACATGCCCCTGAATGTTATTTTTTGGGGATGACAAGTGGGGAGAGTGCTGTTGCACTCAGAGCCTGCTTGTGGGGTTCCCATAGGCATCTGGTTGGCCACTGTGAGAACAGGACGCTGGACTAGATATGCTTGTGAAACGTGGACCACTTATAAATGCCATCTCCAACTCCTCGAAAGATTCCATCAACGGTGTCTCTGAAAAAATTTACACATCACTTGGGAAGACAGATGAACTGACGCCAGTGTACTGGAAGAAGCAAAGATCACCAGTGTTGAAGCAACGATTCTTCAACATCAGCTTTATTGGACTGGTCATGTTGTGCGGATGCCTGTTTATCTTCTTCCAAAGCAACTACTCTATTCCGAACTTTAAAATGGAAAGCGTAATGCCAGTGGTCAACAAAAGAGGTTCAAAGACTTTCTCAAGGCAAATCTAAAACAAGTAGTATAAACGCTGACAACTGGGAAACACTGGCCTGTGAGCGCTCCAGTTGGAGAACAGCCTTTACCAAAGGTGTCATGGGTTTTGAAGATGCTCGAACTCAGGACGAAAAGGAGAAATGAGCTAAGAGGAAGGCACGTTTGGCAAACCCTCACCATGATCAGCTCCCACCCAGAAACCAATGTCCCCAGTGTGGAAGGACGTGTGGATCCAGAATTGGCCTCCACAGTCACTTATGGACTCACTGTAAAAACCGTGAGTGTAAAAAACCACGAGTGATTGCCAAAGAAGGAGGAGGAAGAGGAGGAGGAGGAGGAGGAGGAGGAGATAGGCCTTTGCTCTGACCTAGCAGACTCTTCTTAAGTTCTTATCTTTATGCCAGGACAGATTTACTTGCTAAATGTGGCTGTTAAAGGCACAGGAGCAGGGCTAGTAATACAACTGCAGACTAGTGAAGGCACATATCCACCCTGGAGATGCACTGGTTGAGTGGCTTCAGTCTGCTGTTGGATAAGTGTGTTCAGTGAGTGCGTTTGGACAAATTTCAGCTCCTGAGCCAAACTGAGGTATGGTGGTACCTCGGGTTACAGACGCTTCAGGTTACATACGCTTCAGGTTACAGACTCCGCTAACCCAGAAATAGTACCTCGGGTTAAGAACTTTGCTTCAGGATGAGAACAGAAATCGTGCTCTGGCGCGGCGGCAGCAGCAGGAGGCCCCATTAGCTAAAGTGGTGCTTCAGGTTAAGAACAGTTTCAGGTTAAGAACGGACCTCCAGAACAAATTAAGTACTTAACCCGAGGTACCATTGTAGTTTGAAGGAAGTGGGAGGTTATTGGTTTGCTTTATATTTGTTCTTGTTTTTCTTACATATTTTGTGTTTTTATTTTGTATTTTTATGCTGTGAACCAGCCTAAGATTTTAGATGAAGGGCGGTATACAAATTTAATAAATAATAATAATTCTGGTCTTGTCTGAGCTGAAGTGGGATCTGTACAAGGTACCCCAAATTAGGGCCCTCTCCACTCCTTGTGGTGACTTGGATGTCCAAAAAAGCAACAGGCAAAAGTCTGCTGAAAGGGAAATCAGTGTTTCTAAGCTTACCATATAAAGAAAATGTTTGGATGGATGTGGGGAGGGGAAAAGTAGAGCAAACACCAGGGTGCAAAGAAAAAGGACAAGGCAGAACTCTATGTGACTGACAGGTCTCGCTTGTAATCAGAGGGAATTATTTAACCAGACTCTCTAATCCAGCTGGCTTGGGGAGGAAAACAAATTTGTTTTAATTCTCCCTTCTCAAAATTTCAAATTTAAAAGCTGTCTATTGTAAAAAGCCCTGGACCTATTTGCACTGGCAGAGGAAGAGGGGTGCTGGGGGAGTGCACCGCCCCCGGCAGCGTGATCCCAGTGGGGTGCCATCATGGCTGCCCCCCACCCGCGTTGGGTGCCACGCCCCCGCAGGCAGTGTGCCACACCCCTGGGACTCATGCCACGCCCCTGTGGGCGGCGTGCCACACCCCTAGGACACGCTCCAGCCATGCCCCTGCCTGCTCTCCACCCCCCTGGTGCTGGGGCATGAAGTTCTGCCACTGCCTATTTGTTTGGAATTTGGCAAGATTGATTTGTAGGAACTCCTCTCTTACATCCGTTATTGCAAGACCAATTGTATGTTAAATATTAGGCAAGATTAACTGAATCCTTTTTTACGTGCACCTTCTTTCTGACATTTGGTAGGAGTCACCCCCTCAAAAGGAGCAAACATGTTTGCAGATTTCTTCCAATTCTGCCCCAAAGAATTTTTTTTTAAGGTGCTCAGCAGAAACCCCACCAATCTATTTGTCTTTAATTTGGCAGGCTGAATCCGCTCTAGTGCAATTTCATCCACTTCTGTCAACAAGGAGAAAATGTAATAGCCATTTTTAAATTTTCCAGTTGTGAACGATAGGAAATGAAGCCTTTTTGTTCCTGAAGCAGACTTGGACCCTGAGCCAAACCAGGGAGTCTCTAAAGTGTTTCGAACGAATGTGGGCTGTTTTGCAAATCAGGCAGTCTCTACAGTGCTTTTAACCGAGGCAAGTAGTTTTCTGAAGCACCAAACTGAACTGAATTTTCTGGTTTGTGCATGTCCCTACTGACAGAAATGAAGCTGCACTGGCAGGATGACACCTCTAACGGCTGAAACTTCTGGAACACTGGCAGGAAGACTCCAGCAGGGGGAAAGCTCCGCTGGCAGGAACATGAAGTGTAGAATGGGCACACTTGTTGGTTGCCATAAGGGCTGCTGGTGGGCTCAGACCTTGGTGAGGACCTCATGAAAGTGTTCAAGCCTTTATAAAACACTGTGCACCTGTACCCTGTAATTCCCATGATCACAAGTTGTAATTGCAGAATTGGCATATGCCATGTGGAGGCCTGTTAAAGCTATGGTTTTCCCAGTAGTGATGTATGGAAGTGAGAGCTGACCATAAAGAAGGCTGATCGCCAAAGAATCGATGCTTTTGAATTATGGTGCTGGAGGAGACTCTTGAGAGTCCCATGGACTGCAAGAAGATCAAACCTATCCATTCTTAAGGAAATCAGCCCTGAGTGCTCACTGGAAGGATAGATCCTGAAGCTGAGGCTCCAGTACTTTGGCCACCTCATGAGAAGAGCAGACTCCCTGGAAAAGACCCTGATGTTGGGAAAGATGGAGGGCACAAGGAGAAGGGGATGACAAAGGACGAGATGGTTGGACAGTGTTCTTGAAGCTACAAACATGAGTTTGACCAAACTGCGGGAGGCAGTTGAAGACAGGAGTGCCTGGCGTGCTCTGGTCCATGGGGTCACGAGGAGTCGGACACGACTAAACGACTAAACAACAACAACAATGTGGAGGCCTTGGTTCATAACTTGGTGAGTCCATGCAATTTCCATGTGAAGCCAATGGTGGCTGTGTGCAGAAGGTGTTGGCACTGTTGGGCATCCTTTGAGGCCCATGCTTCAGCCGCAGACCCACTGCCACTCCTTGGAGCATCTTGGACCTGCTGTTCTTCCTCTTAGCTGTTTCTGCCTGTTGACTTGCTCTCTCCAAGGCTTTAGAGTTGTGCTTCATCCATACAACCAGTCCTTTCAGCTAGTACCTTGCCAGTCAGAAAGTGGATGTAACAACTGTATCTCAGTAGCGTGCTTGTATGTGTGTGTGCTTACAAGAAAACAAGAACTGATCGTACCCAAGCTGAACGGGAGATATGAATCAGGAAACACATCACCATAGCAACCAAAGCTGTGTCTTGAAACCCCAAGGAAATATAGAGGAAAGTGTTGCAATCCTACTTGTGAGTCACCATCCTAGAGGGCAGTCATTCATGTGACAAAGAAATCCTTGGGATCATGTAACTGTAAGCTTGTATGAAAGATGGGACTTTGTAATCGAAATAATTTAAGAAATTACCTTGTCCGGTGAAGTGTTAACAAACACAGATAAAGAACATTGGATCCCCTGTTGATATACTGTGAAAGATAAATGCTGATGTTGACAACAGATTTCATAGAAAACAAAAAGCCGAGGCCGAGCTTGGTTTTTAGTTTCCTGCCATAATGCTTTGCTTCACATGAGGATTAAGCAGTTTGAAACGGAAGCGATTTCCTCACCTTCTCCGGCACCCTTCTTATCGTGAATGAAGGCAATCTTGTGGGTTACCCCACTGAGCCAGCAGATTGCCTCATATCCGTATAGCTCAGGGTTTCGTTGCATTTGTGCAAAGCTAGAGTGCCTTCAGAATGTTACCGTTTTGTGGGAGGAATTCAAGCACATGCCATTAATTTAATTAGAGTGGATTAATGTGCTCTGTCACCCTAGTGCAACAAATCCACTTTGATGAAGAAATTTGCTTTTTGCTGTTAGGAAAGTGATGGGAAAATGCACTGAAAAGTGTGGGATGAATGAATTCTGGGAAGACACATAAACACCCCACAAGCCAATCAGGATGTCATATAACTGTCCTGCAAACAAAGAATGCTTAGTATAACCTCTGTGCAAGCAGAGCAGGATGAATGCTCAATAAGTAGTTTGTCTGAAGGAGCCCACAGTCAGACACACGGTGTAACTAACCTTCCAGAGACATATTTAACACCTGACAATGAGTAGTGCAGGCTCTATTGACACAGAAACCATAGGGAGCGGCGTCAGGCAATTTTACACCAACCCAAGAGACTCTGCAGTACAGACCTTGCTTCCATATGTACAGTATTCCACCTGTCATCACCATGTGCATTTTGCAAGTTATTAATAACCTTTGCAGCATTTTAACACTGACAGCTATTTGTCCAAGAACACCTTATGACTTTATCATGCACATCGGTTTATACTGTGGGGGCAGTGGAAGGGGGGTTTAATCTGCTATATATCTTGGAGAGTTGTTGGTTCATTGTGCATTTGGACACCTCTTAAAATAACGTAGCCAAATTTTGCATGATGGCTTTTGTCTATATGGACACTTGCATGCCACTTTGAATCAAGTTGGTAGACTTAACTTTTCCGAACTGGATCAGTTTTGAGCAGATTTTGCACGATGGTCCTTGAGGTCAAGGAGCAGTTTCCATATCTGTTTGGATACCGTTAGACCTCATTTTGAATCAAGATTTTTTTGAGTCCTTAGAATTCCTGAGCAACACTGAGTATGCGGGTGCTAGTGGTAAAACAATTCAGCTACATTTAATCAAAAAATATCCATCAGTGTTCAGGGTATGTGTGAAATTTTGGGGTTGCCACTGATCTTGTGGAAGTGCTAGTGAGAATATGGACAGTTACACACTGTTTTTATGTAAGCTGTGCGTTGGATCATGACCTGCAACTGCCAAGGTGCCTCTTGCTCCTCTTGTCATTAAGGAGTTTCAGAAGAAGTTTACTCATCTACATGCAAACTTTTGACTACCTCCTAAGAGCCAGGTCACACATGACCACATAGTCATTCCTGTATTTTCATCCAGCTCTGCCCCCCCCTTTTTGCAGACATTGGTTGCATATTAGAAAACAAACAGCAACTTCAGTACAGGTATTCTAGGCAGGAAAAGTGCTTGATTCTTTATTCTACTTCTGAATTAAAAACAATTGCTTTCACATTGCTATGTTCACTCTACTAGGGTACTGTGAGCCATGAATAAAAAAGACTGCTGCTATTGATATAGCAAGAACAATGTGTTTTTAAAAGTAATCTTGCAAGTTCAGAAGAGCACTCTCAACAGGTCTAAAATCTCCATTTTATACAATTCCACGGTGTCACAAGTACGTAGTAAGAGCCTGTTGTTTCAGGCCAATAGCCCATGTAGTCTAGCATCCTGTTATCATAGTGACTAACTAGATGCCTATGGGAAGCCCACAAGCAGGGCGCAAGAGCACTCTCCCCTCCTGTGATTTCTAGCAACTGGTATTCAAGAAGCCTACTGCCTCTGACCATGGAAACAGAGGATAGCCAGTATAGCTGGCAGCCACTGCTAGCCTTTACCTCCCTGAAAGAAGTCCTGTAATCCACTGTACCTTCAAAACTGGCTTAGACTGAGAATCAAAGAAGATGCAGGTGTACATCAACATCAGAAGGATCATCCAGATCTCAGTAAGTTGGCTTAATCTTGCATCCTTTGATTGGGACAATGCATGTCACCATCTAGTTGTACTATGCATGCATGGAGTGGATTGGGGCTATTGCCAATAGCTGTAACCAATAGCAGTGCCAATAGCTGGAGTTCTAATCACCAGTTGAATCTGTATGCAAGTTGCCTATGGGAGTTCAGGATTCTTGAAAAAGGAGACTGAATGTAAAATTCAACTAAGTTTGATTCAGAGTACACCCATTAAAATTGATGAACATGACTAAGTTAGGTTCATTAACTATAATTGGTCTACTGTGAGTAAAACCTAGTTGAACACTACCCTGAATTATTCTCTGCTAGGTTTTGAAAAGCGGGATCTTGTTAGAATTTGAGGTGGGGTAATGAAATTGGGAGGAGACAGCATTAAAAATTGGAAACTTTGGGGTTGGTGCCTTTTTGTTTTTAAATAATTTTCTGCACAGCACCCGGCTGTAATGGGTTCTTAGCTAACAGCAATAATGAAGGTAGCATATCTCTGTTGATCTAATCTCCATTGTGCTCAAGCATCTGACAGGCTACATTAAGAGACAGAATAGTGACCTGGATGAACATTTATTCAGAAAGGCAAATCTTCAGATCCATTGAACTAGCAGAAAAGATATTGCAGATGAGGGTATTTGCTTGGATTTTTAGTGATAACCTAAAGAAACAGAAAGCAGATCCTGCATTTTTAATTTTTATTTTTGGCTGTGGACCATTTCATAAGACGGAGGTTTATTTCAGTTGGAAATAGCATATAAAGGGGAAGTGGTAGACACTAGGACACTTGAGTAATGCAAACCCAGACAAAGCAGCTCATTGTTCAGATGGTCTAGAGCATTTCCTACAGCAGTCTGGACTCCTGGCTATATTTAAGGGGTAAAGGAATGATCACACAATGTATAAGGAACAAGATGAATAAAACCACCAGTCCTCTTGTATAGCTTTAAAACCCACAGACACCAATAACAAGAGATATATCCATTATGTACAAGAGCTACACATTTACACATTTCAGGAAGAACAGTGTGTATTCCATATGACACTGAGAAGGCTACCTTTTCAAGGAAAGGTAGACATAGGTGAGCTTATATTAGATGCAGTTGAAAGACTTGCTTTTGTACCATGTGTACAGCAGATATTGTGTTGAAAGGGGACACATAAGTTAAACATAGGATTCCTTAGCGCACTGTATGTGGCCAAAGGCTGGCTGGCTGCATGGCTGTGTCAGGTATTCTTGTTTGTTCTTTTGATAAGACCCAGACATGGTCCTGAGGCGATAGACTTGAGGGGTCAGGGGCAAATTAGCTCGGGAATGTATTCCAATAACAAAGTCAACGGCTGGTGCCTTGTCCTTAGGATCACTGGTCACAGAGAGCCTGTCGTTAAAAAAGTCCTTGTATACTTTGTTTGTAACCTCTTTATTGAGTCTCGGACGCTGAGGCTCAAAGTCTGGAGACAGCACAGTGGATCTCATATTTCGAACCGTTAAGCTACTGTATGAGGGAAGCCTAGCAGCTGAGCAGTTTCTGGTAGCCTCCTCATAAGACGGAGGATTCCCAGGATTCCTCTGGTCCACAAGCCGAAACACTTCATCTGCTGACATGAAACGAGACCTCGGTTGACCCCGCGAAGGTGCTGGGCTGTGGTCATCAGCACAAGTTGCGTGGACTATGCGGCAGGAAAGATGTCTCTCTTTCTTGGAGTCCTTCTTGAAACTGTCCCTCTGAAAGCCACCTATACCGCAGCTTTGGGTTTTCGCTAGCACCTTCTTGCGGGTTGCCACAGAAAACGACATGGAATGCCTCTTGAGCTCTCTGATGGAGGTGGTGTCACTTCCGCTGGAAGCCTTGGTAGAAAAAGACTGCGGCCGAGTTAAGGCGTTTTTCTGGGCGATGGAAGGCGACGTCAGTGGTGAGCTGGTGAAGACAGAACAATCAGAGACTGGAGAAGCACTGTCTAGCGAACTGCCAGAGGATGTTCTGGGCAATGAATTGTTTGACAATTCCGACAGCAGACTAGTTTTTATTGTCAGGTTGGATGGCTTCTTGTTCCTATAGAGGCATGCAAGATGACGTTCTCCTGCCATTTCCTCTCTCAGGCCTTGGCACTTCAACCGCAGTTCCTCCTGCCGAATGACACTCTCCTCACTTCTGGCTAACTTCTGGCTTCTCATACAGCTTCCCTGGCAGCCCTTAGAAGAGAGCATGTCTGGCTCAGAGAACCTCCTATCCAGGTTGCCTATGGATTTTTTAAACCGGGTCACAGGAGAAGAGACAGGTGGAGTCTGGGCTACTGGCTCTCGAGAGTACAGCTCTGTACTGCTGCACCTGTGTTCTGTCCCCCTGGCTTGTGGTAGATCGTTGGCCTGGAGTTCACTGGAATTGCATTCTTCCTCAAAATCTGTGCTGTCATAGGCAGAATCATGTTGGCGTCTAGCAGACAACGTATCTGGAGGAGAGGAAGCAAATGTGAGCAAACTGGGGCAGGTCCAGTCTTTATAAATTAGCCAATTACCATTAGCAGCAACAAAAATGTATATATTGCATATAAATAGCAATGGAGGGGCGGGCGGGCTAAAACCTTCCAAACACAGTAGAAAGACAAATCTGGTTCTGCAATATGAAAGCCTATAATTTAAGGGTAGCCAAAGTGGTACCTTCCAGATGGTGATGGACTACAATTTTCATCACCCCCGACTATTGGCTATGTTGGTTGGGTCTGACAAACAACAACTGGAGGGCAGGGTACCCCTGCAATTTTTCTACTTCTAAAAGTGTCATGGACAAATGCCCACATTCCTCAATATTAAGAACAATATTTTTGAATTTACCAAAAATTGTAGTGTGCAATTCTACCAACCTAGGGAACTGGTGACTTTTATTTTTCATGTTTTTACCAAAATACACATGGTTTTTCTCTCCTCCATCCTCTAATATCTCCGATGATTAAAAATACTATATAAACATATACAGTAAATTTTTTTATCTTCAGAAATGAGAGGTGCTTCATCCTGGTTTCTCACATTCTAAATGCCAGAGAAATTCTATTGACGTTTCTGAGGTAAAACACAACTACCTGCTATTAGGTCAACATACAGCCATCCTGAGATGCCATAGGGACACAGGAAACTGGCTCATACAGAGTCAGAATGCTGGCCCAGCTATCTCAATGTCATCAACACTGAGAGGCAGCAACTTTCCAGGGTTCTAGACAGGGAACATCCCCAGTGCGACCTGGAGATACTGGGAACTGAGCCTGGGATCTTCTGCGGGTGAAGCAGATACCTCATTTTGATCCTTCTCAAACTGCGTAAAAAGGAAGTGAGAACCAAAGACATTGACATTCCACATTTACCCAGGGTTCTTTCATATGTCCATTGATCCTGCAAAGCACCACTCAAGGCTGTACCTCTAGTTGAAGTTTCACGGGGCTTAATGAGGTCTTTTTGCCTACTCCTGTAGGAGAGCCACTTTAGTGGTAGGTTAATAGGATTAGACTCACATATGAGACTGTCAGAGGAAGAACCCGAGCTCAGTGGGAGAGCATTTGGTTTGCATGCACAAGGGGCCCCAGACTCAACCCCCAGGTAAGGGCTGGAAGAGACCCCTGACAGAACCCTGAAGAACCACTGTCACCGAGCTCAATGGACCACTGGTCTGACTAAGCAAAAGGCAGCTTCCTATGTTCCTTTTGAGATACATCTGCTTAACAGTTGGACAGGATCCAGCATTGTGGTTTGTTGGCTATCACTAACCACTTCCTCAGCAGTTTAGAACACGTCTAAATAAACCAACAATGAACAATTATATCAAGCTATCGGTGTGGCACTTTCAACGAAATCCTGGCACATTCAAGAGAAAACATTTCTCTGAATCGTGATTAGCCAAATCGTTAAAGAAGCCGGATGCAGATATAGAATATTATTAGTACCTGGCCTGTCCAGGGAATCATCAGGAGAGATGTTGAACAGTGAAGAGATTTCCTCCCCAAATATATCAAAGCAGTTATCAATCAGAAATTCCACCAGTGTCTTCACCTGTGCAAATCAAAGAAGGATATTTGTTAATCAGGCATTCGTCTCAACCAACAGTTATTTGTATAGTTCTTCACATTTAAGAATTCTGGAAGGGAAATTTGCAGGACATATATGGTGTAGTCCTGCAGATGGGATGGAAAGGAAATGCATGGCTAACCTGCCTTGCTTTCCCCACCTGTTTTGGCCCAGGGCCTTTGCCCATCACCACTGAAGCCTGCTGGAGATGCCTGAGAGAAGCCTGGAATCAGGTGGCAGGGTATAAATAATAAGATCATTGTTATTACTCTGAGGAGTGAGCTCCATAGTTTAACTATACGCTGCATGAAGCTAGGGTAGACAATGGGGAAATAGCTGGACTATTGGTCCGATTCGCCATAAGTCAGCTTCCTGTGTTTCAATGTGTGTCATAGCAATGGCCTTTATTTTGGAAAATAAATAGCAAAAGATGAAAAGTGAACATGACGGGAACAGGAAGCAAAAGTAAGCCAACCTTATCTGTTAGCTTTTTCTGGGCTTCAAGTGGAAGGCTTTGGTCACGAACTGGAGTCAGCATGTTTGGCCCAACACAGATGGCAAGGTTGCTGGAATCCATTTTGTTGATCTCTGAGCTTTTGCTGATGTGGTGAAGCACGCAGAGCAAATGCTTGAGCAGAAGAAGGTTGGGTCTTGGGAGTTTGCTTGCAACCCTAAAGAAATGAACATATGAGAGGAAAAAGTCATCCTCAGAAACTTCTGCTTTTTTAAAACCATCAGATTCACCAGTATGAGTGATACTTCCGCTCAAATGTGGAAATGCTCACTTAAAGTGGTCTCTCAAAATTCCCATTCAAAAGTCCCCAGACTGCAGCTTTGTATGGTCGAAACTGGCTAACCACAAACTCCTGACCAGGCCCCAAACAGTGTAATTCCGATTTAAAACTATGGAGTTAAAAAAGCACCTGATTTGATATTTGTAACAATAATAAGCATGGTATGCACATTTTTAAAATAAATAAATAAATAAATACATAAAGAAAGAAAGAAAGAAAGAAAGAAAGAAAGAAAGAAAGAAAGAAAGATTGACATTTATTCCATGTAAGTCAGTTCTTAGCTATCACAGAGGGTTGGCTATTTTCCCTACAGGATTGAAAGGTGACTGAAAATATGGTCACAGTTCATCCAGGGTTGAGCACATTTTACTCCTACTGACTTCAATGTGGCTTAAAAGTTCTCAGTATTTGAATGTATTTGTTTGTGGCATACCATTACTCACTCACTGTTTATTTTAGTAAAATGGTAACTGGATTGTAAGCTTTCAGTACTTGTTATAACCGGATCCTAATCATGCTTACTCAGCAGTAAATCCTACTGAATTCAGTGGAGCTTGCTCGAAAGTAAATACACTTAGGACTACAATTTACGATGTTCCAAATTAGTGTGAGCTTTGTTTTTGCTGCGATAGTTGCTATTTCAAAGTGTGCAAAAACATTTATGAAAAATACTGTACATTTCACTCTTTCGCCTCCGTCCTGCATCAAGCTGCAGTCGGTGAAGGGCTTCTTCACTGCTTCATCCTTGCCATTCAGGGATCACATTGAGATCATAGGGATCACATAGAGATGACATGTTTCACATTATCATTCAGATCTGGTGATGTGATCACTGTGACATGATGATACCTTCATGATGCCATGTAGCCATTCAGATTTGGCTGATAACTTCATGAGGCAAACAAAGTCCTCATTCTGAATTGTAAAGGTAAAGGTAAAGGTACCCCTGCCCGTTCGGGCCAGTCTTGCCAGACTCTAGGGTTGTGCGTCCATCTCACTTAAGAGGCTGGGGGCCAGCGCTGTCCGCAGACACATCCGGGTCACGTGGCCAGCGTGACAAGCTGCATCTGGCGAGCCAGCGCAGCACACGGAACGCCATTTACCTTCCCGCTGGTAAGCGGTCCCTATTTATCTACTTGCACCCGGAGGTGCTTTCGAACTGCTAGGTTGGCAGGCGCTGGGACCGAATGATGGGAGCGCACCCCGCTGCGGGGATGCGAACCGCCGACCATGCGATCGGCAAGTCCTAGGTGCTGAGGTTTTACCCACAGCGCCACCTGCGTCCCTGAACTGTAGGAAATTGTAGGAAAGAGTAAATACAACCCCATTGCCTAGGCCAGAGGTTTTCAAACTTTTTGAGTTGGCTCCCTTGACCGACTACATTTTTTTCTGCAGCATTCCTGTGGGGCTCAAGAGCCCAGTTATGTCACCTCTTGCCTGCAGAGCTGGCAGCCTCACACCCTATTTCAAATACCCTCCCTTGTGGAGTGTTCCCTCAGCTTCCTCTCCTCTCTCCTTGGGAGTCGTCTGGGCAACCGCAGCTGCCACCCCCGGTCTTTGAGCTGCCCCCCCCACCCCAAAGAGAGGCACCTCCTCACACTGCCCCACAGGGGCCTGGGAAGCACCCCCTGGCCAGCCCCAGAAGCACCAATTGCCTGTGGAGCTTGTAGCCAGAGCTGTTGCAACAAACAGCTGTGCAAGCCCTTGGGAGGCAGAGATGTGAGAGGGCATCAGAGGAAGGAGGGATGGAAAGAGGGACAGAGGCCAGTGTTTCCCGCTGCACCACTGGCCATCATTCAAGGCACCCCAGGGTTGCATGGCACACTGGTTGAACAACCACTGACCTAGGCAACTGAATTAACATTTTCTGTCTTGACATACCAATTGCCTTGGCAGTGGGAATACATAACTTTCTACCACATTTGCACTCATAGGACCACTTTCACACCCTTTTGAACTAGAGAAGAAAAATTATTGAAAGCAAGGTCACGGTTTGGGAGAGAAAACCCTCAAACCTTCCCTTGTTGTTGACTGCACAAATTGTAGTTTCACCATATATAGGTTTATTCTTAAGTAAGTTCCCACTAAGTTTATATGATTACAAGCCTTAGGATGCAATCTGACCCATACTTATTGGAGAATAAGCCCAGCTTCAGAGAGACTTATTTCTGAGCAAACATACTTAGAGTCACTCTTAGACTGCATTCCTAAGCATGATTACCATTGATATCGACCAGTTTCACAAATAAGCATGTTCAGGTGTACTTTCAATAAGAATCATGAGGAATCATTGAGGTGATCTTAACAGCCACCTAAATGATTCCTTAAACCATTACCAGATTCCTTAAACCATTACCAGAATAAATATGAGCTGAGATAAAAGCTGTAGGAGCTGAGATAAAAGCTGTTTAGGATCAGGATCCCACTGCATTGCAAGGCACAGCAATAAGAGACTTTCTGAAGGAGGATCAGCTTACTCTTTCATTGCTTCAGTCCTTTTGTGGTGGGTCATCTTCTCCAGTGCCATCATCCACTCATCATAAAGCTCAGAGAGCAGCAGTTTATGGGGAATGTTTCGAAGGAAGTCCTGAAAGATAATGAGCCTCATTTTAACAAGGAGGAAACATGTTTTGCTATAGTGTAACTGTAAGTATTGGTGCCTTTTCCAAGAGTTGGGGTAATGAAACAAATTGTTACAGCAAGAAACCAAGCAAATATACCTTTAAAACCACTGCTAACAGATGAACAGGTTTATCTTCAAAATCAACTTTCCCTCCAAAGTTTAACTCTTCTTTCAGCTCCTTGCGGGCCTTTTCGTTGGCAGCTTTCCGGAATATTCCTTCTGTTAAAGGCCCTTCCAAGAAGAGCATTGTAAGGATATCCTATGTACGCAAAAGAACAAGAACAAAAGAAAGGCTGCTTGTCATCTCATTAGGAACAGCTGCAGAGAACCCAACAAAGTCATTGTAACACAACTGTTTACCTGGAATATGTATACGCTTTGCTTACCTGTATTGGCTTGGGCAGCATATCATCTTCACTGCAGACAATCGACAATGGCTGATCAAACAGAGGATGTTTCAGGTCAGATTCCAGATTCCCCAGAGTCTCTGATCCAGTGGTGGTTCTTCTCAGCATAAATGGCCAAGATATTACTTTCTTTCTCTTCTTATTACTATCTGTTGGAGAGAAGAAAAAGGAACAAGAAAAATGAGTAACATTAGATACATGGGTGAATGACATATTACTGCTAAATTGTATAAAGAGACGTAAAACGCCCATGGAAGAAAGAGAAGCCATGAAGTATAGGCGATTAATGGTGCAATCCTATGTGTGCCTGTTCAGAGGTGAGCACCATTAGATTCAATGGGCCTGACTCCCAGCTAAGTGAGTATATGATGTGCAGCCTAAAATGTAAAACGAACAGACAAGGAGAAAGAGGGCATCGGCTCATAGAGCTTCATGAGGGGAACAGAGGCCTCCTAGCAACTCTCAGTATCCTGAAAGTGGTATAACAGTGCTTCAAATGTACAGTGCAGATGCAGCATAACTAAGGTGGAAGACTTAGTCTGTAGCCCCTTTGCTTTGGCTTTACAATGGTCTTCCAGCCAAACTCGTTGCCTACTATTAGAAACCTCAGTTCTATGCAGGGCTGCCACCAGGGGGCAATTTAGAAAGCTGATGCTGATTGTAATCCCAGTCTTAAACGTGGGGGCGTGCCAGGCTGCTGCTGTTCCATTGCACAGAATGGCCCCAGCAGGAAGAAACAAAATATAACCTCTGAAAAGACAAATCCTACTATCTGCTGCTACTGCACAGTGGAGCAAAGGAAATGTTTCAGCACTTGATTGCACTTGTATAGTAAAATTAAGGAGCATAGTTATGGCATGGCAGAATGACTCATTTCCATGCTTATCAAAGGGCACCATTTCCCTGTTAAAACGCACCAGTCAGATGACACAGTCCGTCTTCAGTATCACATGGCATGAACAAGTGGCATTTCTTGATGTCAGCCTGGAATAAACAATAATCAGTAAGAAAGAAAGTCACTTCAATGGTTTATTTAGTTAGCATATCCACGTAGCTCACTGCCATAATATGTCTGTGCAATGTCTCTTCCCCCAAATGGAAAGCAAACTTCCTTCAATTTGTCTCACAACTTCTGCCTGGCACTTGGGAGGGGATAAGCAAACAGTCCATATTGGCAACAGTAGGGCTGGAAGTTACAGGGACTGGCATGTGCAATCACAGGATGCTAGGTTCCCTGGTGTAGCTCTTATCAATTTTTATAGAAAACAATAATAGAGTGAACTATGGGATGAGTTGGGCACAAGTTGCTTTCTCAGATACCTTTCTTCCCTATCACCCCCCCTCAGCTTTTGTAACTGAGCAACTGAGTTTCGAAAACAGCTTGCAATTTGGCATGGGGGTTATTGGCTCACAGAAAAAGTCAACAATCCCAGAGGGAGTAGTGCAAGCTTCTTCTGTGAACCTAAGCAGGTCTTTGGATCATAGCCATAGACCCAAGTAAGGCTCTAACTGCACATCATAGGACAGTGTCTCATTGAAATTGATGGGGCTTTAAAGTGAAATATGTTTAGGCTTCAGTATTATGGTCATACAGGCTTCAGCTTTACAGCTCAATTCAAAACATCTTTACTTTAGCAAAGTCTCATGTCCTTTTCAGGTCTTTTTCCTCCTACAACTACAACTACATGGGGGGTGGGAATGGGAGAACAGGGCCCTGGTGGCTGCTGCCTGGTCTTTGCTGGCCCTGTACCCTTCCAGTCAGACATTACAGGGACAAGGTCTGAAGCAGGGAACCTGCTGTACAAATGTATTTATTTTATTTTCAAAACTTAGCAGCTGGTGTACCCCCCTCAAAAGATGTGCAACAGAATCAAGCAACAGACTCAAACTTGTTTACAATATACTTGCATTAAAAATACACCAACCCAAGCCATTAAATAATCCATCTATAAAAGCATCATCAGCCCATAGAACAAGAACAAATTTTAATGACAAAATGCAAAAAACCATGGAAACAAAAATCAAGCAAAAGCAAAAAATCAAGCCTGGGTGAAATTTTTATTGAAAGCTGTGAAGTGCCGCCACTGATCTTATCTGAGAGCGAAAGGGGTTTCCAGAGTGTGTGGAGAATGCCTTTTGTCAAGTAACCACATACCAGATTTGTGGCAGACGTGGCACCATCAGGAACAGGAAGGCATTCCCACCTGACCTTCATGCCCAGGCAATGTAGATATGAGATAAGGCATTTCATCAAATATCTTGGTCCCTAGCCATATCAGGCTGTATATATAAAAACAAGCACCGTGAACTTGGCTTGGTAGTGATCAGAGTTCTAATTCATATTGTGAGCCCACAATCGTACGGCGGGAACTTTGCCTCAGACCTCACACCCAATGTGTGAATGGGGCCCCTGCTCCTCCCTTCACACAACTGTAATTGGGAGAGCAGGCGAGAGCATCTGAAAAGAGCTATTTTTCATTTCAGTGGGATGTACATCCATATCAGTTAAGCATGTCATCCTAATTCACTCTAGAACAGACTCTAGAACGGACCACATAGAGCTGCTTGCAAGTTACCAGACTGTGGACTGCACTCAAGGCTCATGACTGAATTTCGACAAACACGATTTTAATGCAATAAGCATGAAGGCACAAGCTAAGGGCTACATGGCAACTCTGGGTATCTCAAAAGACAACAGTAATGGCAATAGCAACAATAGCAGTGTTTCTGTTCTGACTTCAATTAAGCATAGCAAAACCTTGACTGACTGCGATTTCATAGTGGCAGAGCTGTGTAGTACAATCCTGAGCAGCTTTGCTCAGAAGTCCCACTAAGTTCAATGGGGCATATTTCCTACGAAGCATGCTTAGGATTGTAGCCTGTAACGTAAAGACTCAGCAAAGAATTTGAAGCTGGTGTTTACCTCTGACTGGCATGCAATCAAAGTCTCCATATCACTCGCATTTATGGTTTTGGGCTGCAAATCAAAACAAAGGCAGGATATCGTGAAAATCCCATTCAGTTATGCGTAATAACATCTTCAGAGAGTAGATTAGTTGAAGGGGCAATAAAGACTCACTGTATTGCAGCTGCTTAGCACCTTCATCAGGATTTTGGTTAAGGAAGCTTTAACAATGTTTGCTCCTTTGAGTCCTTTTGTTTGCCTGTTTAGAATGAGGAGGCAAATATTAACAATATTTTATTCCCCTCTTCTGCAAACTCAAACTCAATACAAACAACAACAGTGAGCTGAAAGTGATTTGAGAGAGAGGCTTCTCTTCCTGTGACATGCACACACATTAGTTTTCTCTCCTTGTCACCTCTGGTTTCTGAGAGTGTTTGACACAGTACAAAATCCGCAAAGTCTATTTTACCCAAGTGAAAAGTGGACTGAGTGTGCACACCACAAGTGGTAAGCTCTCTCTCAAACTGCCTTCAATCCTCTGAAAAGGCTTTGATTAGTCTCAAGCATCAGTTGTGAACTAAAAGGTGCTCCCACATACAAATATTCTCTCGACAACCTGACATAAAAGCATCATTACACTAGTGAAAACAACTCTTGATTCCACTCCATTCAAGCACTATGTACAGCATGCTGTAAAATATGTGGCAATGTGAAAAGATAATCTATAGTAGTAAGCTATGTGGATGCAGACAGTTGTAACCAGATGGATTACACCTGTCAATGTAAGAACACCCCTAACCTGCTTGATATTGGTGCTAAGTTTCATGTGCAATGCTAAACATCAAAAAGCCCCCATCAGCTGTACAGTTAAGAGGTACAGTTAAGTTGGGCAGTGGGTGCCTTGCCCTAAACATTTCTCTTAACAAAAATCCCAGCGAGCTACTTACAGTGAACTTTTAACAGACATTCATCTTCTAGGCTCACCAGAGAATGGTATCTGGACAGAGTTCTTTCAACTCGAGTGAACTGCAGACAGAAAGGGAACCAGCATGACGCTCTCCTCCTCCTCAGACTAATTTGCCAGAGAGAGATGCAGAGACACACACAGAGCCCTTCCGTACCACGTGTGCTGCATGCAAAATGAGTTGTGGTGGAAAGGGGGGCAGGTGGAAAGTCACAAACGTAAGAGGCACAGGAAGGAGCATCACGGCTCAAAGGCAGAAGTCAGAACTCCCCGGCAGATGCTCGCCAGTCCCCTTGGCTTCCTCTTTCCTTTTAGGGCAGCTGCAGTCTGGCTGTGTGTTTGGGTGTTTTGTTTTTTCCTTCTTGAATAAAAATACCCCCCAGTATTGTCACAGACGGAAAGGCAATGGAACAGATGAAGTGCCTCACAGGTGAACGTTCCACCTTACGACAGGAATCAGGTGGGATGTGTGAAGAAAAAGAAGTGGTGTTGTGTAGGCTGGCTCGAGGCCTTTTAAAGGGCATTCGGCAGTTTTAGGCACAAGAATCCTTCTTGGAGACCTTTCTTTCACTGCGTGCTCAACTCTTAAGATGTCAAATCTGACCTCAAATTAATAAACCACGTCTTTTTAAAAAGTTCCAAATCAAGGCAAGTAGGTCAGGGTCTGAGCCTTTACAATGGAGTTGGATAGAGCATAAGGGGAGAAAAATTGAGGGAGGAGGGTCAAAAAGCAGAAAGTTATCTATTAGTTATGCACATTTGTGCCTCAGATACTTCTATTAAGTTTGCTGACACTCGCATACGTATTGTACTTGGCGGGGGGGGGGGGAATCAAATGAAATATCCATTAAAAAAGCAATGGACGAAATGGTTAAGTACATGCATTTCCCAGAATGCTGCTTTTCCTCCACAAGGCCAGCACCATCTTCAGAGGGAAGCATCACAGATTTGGATACCTAGGGTTATACATGACTAACCCTTCTCTGGAGCAGCCAACATCCCAGGTTAAAAAGGGAGAGTTAAATTAAGCCTTGGCCCTTATGCAGCCTCACAAAACACCACACAACTCCACAAAGCCAGGAGACCAGCTGCAATACCCCCTCAACAAGAAATGGTGGCAGGCAGGCAGCGCCAGGTGGAGGAGGAAAAATAGTCACTAGTGGGGAAGCTGCCTTTGGAAGGAACAATGGGGTTTATTACAGCTGGCGGAGTGAGTTCACGCTCTCTGTGAAACAGCAGGTGCTGCCAAAACGGGTTTCATGCCTCATGGGAGCAGATCCTGGCAGGCCAAGAGGAACCAAGGCTGCAGTCCTTAAGCACATTTACTAAGGAGGGATTGACACTGCATTTTGTGGGGTTGCCAAACAAAACCCCCTCAGGATCATATTATAAATGGAGAGCCTGGCGTAACTCATTTTCAGACTGTTTTCACTGCAGTGGAAACCACTCTAAATTATTCCACCTTCCCTGTTCCCTGTTCCCTTCTTTAAGTTTTATCATGATTGACTATCATGATAAAACTTAAAGAAGGCTCTAGTCACTAGTGTCTACAGCAGGGGTGGGAAATCTCAGGCCAGGGGTCAAATGGAGCCCTTCAGCGCTCTCCAGCAGGCCCTTGGAACTCACCACAGGCCATGTCTCTCCTTGGCTCTGCTTCACAACTTTTGTGTGTGTTTCTGCTGGGCTGGCATGTGTCCTTGAACTCTGATAATGCCTTTGGCTTGTCTGGGTGGACTGTAGAGAGGAGTGTCTGTGTAGGAACTAGCCTACTATACAAAGGTAAAATTTACGCTTGTTGCTCTGCACACTTTCGCCTCTGGCCCTGCTTACCCCTGGCATGTGGCCCTTGAGAGTTCACCTGGGATGGAATGCGGGCCTCTGGCAGAAAAAGGTTCCTTACCCAGCTCTACAGTGACGGCTCTAGATGTGGCATGCAACAAGGGAAAATGGAACAGGAAGCTTGAGGTGAGGTGGGACGAGCAGTTCTTAGTCACACATTTTAGCACCTTTCTCTCTCCATCTGACAGGGCAGCTCACAACCGAAGGAGTTAGGAGGGAGTTGGCAGCCAATCACCAGGCTTAGTTGCCAGCACTGAAGCCGTTTCTTCTCAACTCACAGATAAGTCACACATTGCTGTTAGTGTGTGACATTATTAGCAATTTAGAATCTATAGCTTCGAACATGGGAAAAAATAAATGTGACCAGTTAAAACATGCATCAGGTGACCTGTTTTACCTCTGCAGTGTATCTTGACTTCAAGCTCATTGCAAAGGAAGATTCAAGCTGATCCAAGCAGTGCTTGGTATCACGACTGATCAGCCGGTCACTGATGACCCAACCAGAAACTCCAGGCCAGTCAAATCCCAGCAGGCCTTGAAGTCACCACCAATCAGCTGCTGACGTCAAGCCCCATTTTCAGCAGGGATTGGCTCTACTTGGGATCAAGCCCAGCAGGTCTTATATTGGACGCCAACTTTAATAGGCACTGAATATGAGCCCTGCTTGCCGAGGAACAACTAAGAGTGCATTTTAAGGTGACCAGTTCTTCCTTGACAACTGTGTCTTTACCTACATTACCTGGTGGGATATAAAATGGAAATGGCTTGGGGAAAACAGTCTCGTGGTGGTCTAAATTAGGACTCCTGTCCAGCCGAATTTGGCATGTGGGCCAGAGAATCCACACCGCTGAATTATGAGGTGGGGGTGGGAGCTCAAAAATATAAAGAATGAAACAGAGTGAACTGAAGGCATACCACTAATCTTATTTTTCCACTGCCATCAATATTTCCACAAACAAAAATACCGGAAAATTATGCCCCTCCAAAAGCTATCAAATCCGCTTAGAAAGCATGAAATTGCTTAGCAATGTAGAATGTTCACAAACTCCTTGCAAACTGGTTTCCAGAAGTCTTGAATGCATAAAATGCATTGACAGGTCTTTAATTCAGGGACATCTTATTAAAGTTATGCCTTGCTGAAAAAGTGGGAATTTAATTACCCCCCCCAAAGAGGACCAGCTGAGGACAAAGATGTGCATAGAACCTTTGTATGATAATTTCTATGTCCAGATGCAAATTTAGCAATAATATTTATTTATTGAGAGCATTTGTACCATACTCTTCAGCCTCAAAAGGCTCCCAGAGTGGCTTACCATCTAAAAAGTCCCCGTGCACACAAGAACAGAAACGGAGGGAAGGGGGGGATTAAACTCAGGCACCATCTGGCACAGCTGAGGGGGCAGGAGATGCCTGATGGAGTTGGGCTTTCAGCAATGCTGAGGCATTTTAAAAAATACATTGAATTTTCCATAAGGCTCACCATCGCCATCTAGTGTAACATTGTATATTGCATTTAAAACACACTTAAAACGTTTTAATTGGAGCTGTATAGCTGAGTCCCATAATAACAGACCTGCCTTACTGCTCAGTCTGCTGTACAGCTGCCAGTTGTCGACAGACAGCTTCAAACCAACTGCTTCCCATTCTTAGACTTTAACAACTCTAATAACTGGATCTGGTCTAGGGAACCCTTTTCACTGAGAACTTTCCCTGTAAAACAGTACATATGGCCATATCTTGTGCTGAATTATTTATGCATAAACATCTTCTGCAACAACAAATAGTCTGTTCCTGTTACTGTGGCCAGGTTCGCACACAATGTTAAACCATACTTTAAAGCAGATTTTGGGCTTGCAAGGTTTACTTTCTTTGTTACTAGAACTTCGCAGTCTGCCAACTGGAGTCAGGTGTCAAAAACATACTTTCAGAATTAATTGAGAATTAATCAGTTCTGAGTGCAGGAATACATTTTGAATCCCGGAACTGAGCTGTTACAATTTACAAAATTTACAAATTTTAATGAAAACTTAGCAAAAGAATAATAAAATAAAACCAGCAATTAAAAACTAAATAAATTAAAATGGCATTTTAAAATACATGCTGAATTTCATGTCTGGGTAGGCTTGCCTACACAAAAAAGTTTTTAGCAGGCACCAAACACAGTGAAGTTCCAAACGTTTCCCTCTTCCCCCAGCATAAGAAAAAGACCATACATTTGGTAAATTAAAAAGTGGTTTACTTACAAATTCTCCAAAGGTTGCACAGTAAAACTTGGTTTAGTTACCAAGTGGTGAAAGTTGCTAAATTATCGGTAGAGGAACTCAAAAGTGGCTTGTGAGAGACATGCTAGCTAGCTCAAAACCTCTTCACACACTCAGCTTCTCAGGTAGACTGAAGGGGAACAATAGGCTTGATTACTCATTTCATCCCAAGGTAAGCTAAGCCTGGCAGGACAGTTTACTCTATTGTATTAACCCCTTCATGTCTTAACTAGACTTAAACATGTTGGTTATATGAGGCTGGTTGTTCCACAGTTTCCTGAGCAATGCTATCAGTTTAGTGTGCTTACAGTCTGCAACTTCAGACACACTTTTAAACTGCAATCCTAACCCCACTTACCCTGAGAGTAAGCCCCATTGAATTCAACAGGGCTTACTTCTGCACAGACGTGGCTAGGCTTGCACTGTTTGTCAATGTTATGAATAAGGAAAACTTGCAAACATAAATTGTTACACTCGGCAGAGAAAGTTTATTTTGAAGCCAGGGCAGCTAAGAGGTTCATGGGAATCAGAAAATAAGGAACCAAACTGCTATGCCCCCCCCTTTTCCCCTCCCCTCAAGGAGCAGCATCTGTTTTCCTTCTTTTGTGAAACCCCAAATGGGAAAATCCCAACCATGGCAAACATTTGTCTGTTTCAATAGAGCTTTCAGCTGACGTGAGGCACCCCTGATGACCGTTGCAAATGGGAGTTGCATGGCAGCAAATGGCTGACAAATCTGCGCTTGTTTCAGTGTCATGCTAATGAGAAAACAGCAGAGCTTACCACAGAGCGGAGCGGACAAAAGGATGCTCCTCAGCGATTGACACTTTAACCTCCCTCCCCCCTGCCCTATAATCTAGTAAAAGAACCCAGGTTCTGCGCTGGTGCCTCTGAATGTTCATATATAGAATGTATTCCAGCTTTGCCAGAGCTGGCAGCATAACCGTCTCCTGGGAAACAATAGCAACATTGACCAAATAAAGAGGGAGCAGTTATGTAAGCCCATGGACAGGCTGGTTGTCCTGTTTGTCTTTCTCCACCTCTCCCTCCCGTAATATTTTGGATTGCAAAGAGCAGATTTATAGGACCACCTCTATTGCTTTCATTATGCTTAGCTTGCGCTCTCTCTCTCTCTCTCTCTCTCTCTCACACACACACACACACATTTTTGCAAAATCTGAAATAGGGATGGATAAACCTGTCAATTTCAGTTTCTCTGTGTTTTTTCATTTTTCCTGTCTTCAGTTCTCTACATTTCCACACCACTTTGCAAATTCACCCCCCCCAAAAGTCCTCATGAAAATCCATCAGTGTTTCAGTGCAGATTTCTCCTAATAAATACATTTTTTGTATGCAGTTTTGTCTAATATAGACATTTTTGCAAAACAATTTCCTGTAATAGAATGCATTTTGTATGTTCTTTTCACTAATAGATGTGCTTCACTTTACACTGCTTATGCATTTTAGTACACATTACTTGGTTGGAGACCTGCACTGCATGATTCAGAGCAGTTTTGAAGGATGGCCGTGCGCTGGCTGACGTATTGTTTTGAAAAAATGTTAATTTGGTAGCTTCGCCTATATATAAGAGCTGAATTTCTCCTCCACAACCTACTCTGAAATGAATAGTATACATGGACTAACTCACATGGTGTAGGATGATTGTATACAATGTTTTCAGCAGCAAAACTACATAATACACATGTGTCAGGCTATCTCCATACAATAAATACACTGAACAAACAAACAAAACTAGAGTGAGTCTAACATGTCACGTACATCTGGTGACTGAGTGGTGGTGAAGTCTAGACAGACCTGGCTTCTGATAAACCTGTGTTCCAGGCCTACCACTCCATAGTTTCTCATTGGTTAGAACTGCTGCCCATCTGAAGGAGAGTTACATGAAAATGATGGTATATCACGCCAGTAAAATTGGCAAAAATGTATAAAACAGAACAAAAGAACTGTTCGAGGTGTAAAGAAGGGGAAGGTACATTTTATCATATGTGGTGGCATTGCAAGATTATCAAAAAATTTTGGGAAATGATATACAACAAACTGAAAAGAATGTTTAAAATAACATTTTTTAAAAAACCAGAAGCGTTTTTGTTAGGTATTTTAGGACAAGAGCTGCTGAAAGAAAAACGGACATTATTTATGTATGCTACAACAGCACCTAAAAAACAATGGCAAGAAAAATGGATGAACTATGCAGAGTTAGCAAAGTTAATGGACATACTGCAAGAAAAGGACAACAGGGACTTTTACAATATATTTGCAGAAACACACACACACACAAAAAATGGACTCATTGGTAGGATTTAAATAAACATTTACAATTTTATTTACATAAAACAAGGAATATAACACTGTGATAACATAGCATTATATATAAACAGCAGAACATATCATTTGATCTAATAAACGAGAAATGGAAGCTGAGGGAAGTCAACGGGTGTGTGTGTGAAAAACTAATGTTTAGTATTGATATTGGATATTTGTTTTGAAAATGGAAAATCAATAAAACCTTTAACAACAACAAAAAAAAAGAACTGCGGCCCATCTATGGCAGGGGTGGGGAACCACTTTTGTCTGGTGGGCTGGATCAAACAGTGGCCATTCCTCTGCAGGCTACTTTTGGCAGGTGGAGGGGTCTCCCTATCCACCCATCACCTGGCATCCTACAATGTGAGGTGGATCTAAGGTGGCTAGACAGCAGCCGAGCTTGCCTTTGGTGCTGAATTTAAACAGTGTCTGGTGCAAGCCCCATTGCAAAGGAACAACTGGGAACGTGAATGTGAGCTGTGCATTTGCAATTGTTCCTAGGCAGTGGGGCTTAGCATTTGGTGCTGCTCAACTTCAGCACCAAAGGCAAGTCCTGCTGCTTTTGGCAAGGATTGGCTCCAGTTGGGAGCTCTGAATGGGAGCTTCTGAGTGAAACCAGTTCCAGCAGGGTTTGCTGCTACAATTAACTTCACACTGCATTTACCTTAAGTAAGCCAACATGCCAGGGTTGTCATACACTACTGAACTATGACCCTCCACTGCCCACCCACCTGCAAAATGGGTGTAGCAACACTAGGTTCTCTTGGGTTTTAGAAGGGCTAGAAACTTCTTCATGTTATTATGATTATTTTTAAAATCGGCTGGAGTACCTGACGCCTTTTCTTACAACTTTTCTTTGAACTCCAATCAGTTTTAACGAAAGTGCTAGCTCTCATGGCTGTATTAATAGTGAGAAGACACAGAAGCAATGTAGACAGCTTCTCCTAAAGGCTTTGCAACAAAGCAGTTTCAAAGGGACACTTTAGAATCCCCAGAGCAGTGAGAAAGTGGGGCGTATTCACTTCACTGAGCCCCTTCTCACCTTCTATTCCTTGTCCACAGTATTCTATGAGTTACAGGAGTCCTCTGCAATTTATTACCAAAAGAAAACTGCTTTGGAAAACATACTGCCAATTGTGAAATTATCCCCAGTCTGTACAAAGTACAGTGGTACCTCGGGTTACATACGCTTCAGGTTACAGACGCTTCAGGTTACAGACTCCGCTAAGCCAGAAATATTACCTCAGGTTAAGAACTTTGCTTCAGGATGAGAACAGAAATCGTGCTCTGGCGGTGCAGTGGCGGCGGGAGGCCCCATTAGCTAAAGTGGTGCTTCAGGTTAAGAACAGTTTCAGGTTAAGTACAGACCTCCGGAACGAATTAAGTACTTAACCCGAGGTACCACTGTACAGTAAATTGATAAAATTTGCAGAATGCATTCAACTTGCAGAAACAGTGTTTTATGAAGGGCTGGTCCTGCTGTTGGGCAGAATGTGGTAGTTACTTCAGACAACAGATAATATTGCGGGGTTGGGGTGGAGTGAGGCGCGGGCAGTAGCCACACCAATCATTCCTTCTAAGTCCAGTCAGCCAGTCCCCTCGGAAGGAGGACAAAGCTGTCCTAAGCTAGTCTGCAGTCCTCATGTGTGATGAGGATCACTGCATCATCACAAGTGCTGAAATTAGATTCAAATGCCACTCCAGGCAATTTCTGTATAGGGATTTTGAGGGGCACCATCTTCTCCTCTGGTTTATTCAACTGTTCTGGTTGCCAAGCCTTTAGTAGAAATGGTCTATAGGACTTCACCTTGTAGCAAACTATGTGGAGCCAGCCTTGGTTTTGAAATCATTTTTAAATACACAAACTGAGAATTTTGGCTGAAGGAATCTTTGTATGGGCCACATACAAAAACTGTGGCCAATACATTTCTCTCATCTACTTAAGATGGTAGGGTGGCGACATTTCAACACAGAGCTAAGTATCCAAATCAATATTGGATAGTGATGTGTTGTGTTAGCAGTTTATATCCCATGCTCCTCCCTGTATAAGTCATGCATATTTTTAACAGAGAAAATGTAGAACAAAATGTTCTAAAGTACAACGTGATAACCATTCATCAAAATCATGCTTCCAAATGAGAAAACTAATCTTCCAAGTAGATTGTGATCTTTGTATTGTGTTGTTGCCATTAGCAACCTGCTACTGCTCTTTTACTGTTTTAAACAGGCTAGTTTGTACTGCTACCAGTATTTTAAAATTGAATGACTTTTGTATTAACTTGAAAGTTTAGTTTTCTTCCCATGATATATATCATACTATGCGGCAAGTGAGAATCCGCAGTTTGGGGATATGGAATATTCCACAATAAAATGTTTATACCTCTTAATTGCCTTTCATTGTTCCAGATTTCCTTCACTCTCTAATAATTGTTAAAGTCAATAATGCTTCCCCATGCTAGTTTATCAAAGTCCTTCTATTCACATACCTACAATCTAGAACAGCCTTTGCAAATCCAGTGACTTCCATATGTTTTGAAATACAACTTCCATCAATCCTAGCCAGCTGGCTGGTGCTGATGGGAATTGTAATCCAAAACATCTAGAGGGCAGCAGGTTAGTAATGACCGATCTTCTAATAGACAGAATTAGGCAAAATATACTTTGGCCACCTCATGAGAAGAGAAGACTCCCTGGAAAAGACCCTGATGTTGGGAAAGATTGAGGGCACAAGGAGAAGGGGACGACAGAGGACGAGATGGTTGGACAGTGTTCTCGAAGCTACCAGCATGGGTTTGACCAAACTGTGGGAGGTAGTAGAAGACAGGAGTGCCTGGCGTGCTCTGGTCCATGGGGTCACGAAGAGTCGGACACGACTAAACGACTAAACAACAACAAAGATATTGTTCAAGATGCAAAACACCTGAGAAGGGTACACGTATATCGAGAATCCAGTTCATACTGTTGTTTAACCAATATAATCCTTGAAAAATATTAGGATGAGCTGGAACACAGAACAAACTTAAAACAGGCTAAGGCAGGTATGCAGGTGATGGAGGAACCTGTGGTTCACATGCATGCATGCTTATCACGATGATTGTAGTTTGTCAGCTGGAAGAGTTCACACAATCAAGAGCTGTAAGTCATCAAGCATTGTGGCCAGACGTTATGCATCTATAGATAGCTTTTAGGGATGTGTGTGTGTGTGTGTGTGTGTGTGTGTGTGTGTGAATTGTTCATACTTCCTGAAGCAATCTATAAGCCAAGCACACAAAACGCACACACCATCACTAGGAGCCTATATGTGCACTGGCCATACTGCTGGGCGATGATCACTTGGTATCAGTCTGAAGAAAGCCAATAGCTTTACCTGCAAGGGGCTCCCTTTAGACTGATGCTGACTGCACTTCAGCTAGGTTTTGTGTGCATGGGTGAAGTTAGGATTTTTGTTAGAGGGAGGAGCAGGCTTTTGTTAGGGGGGCAGAACCTCAGATTTGTATTGATTTAGGGGGGCAGCTGCCCCCTGCCCCCACTGTGTGTGTGTCTGGCATGTGTGCCCTTGTCTAAATGATGTGGCTGACCAGGTGAA